TCAGATTTTGTGATGGCTATTACTGTGCTATTAATACAGAGTTAATAACAGCCGTATATCTGTGTTTTCATAGTTCTTTTGACTGTGCTGCACATGCAGCAAATTTGTAAAATCAAAAAAGCTGGAAAAGATGCAGTTTGCATTCTCACATGTTAAATTGTTTTCAGCTAATTTTGCTGTCCAGTATACTAATCTGTAAACATTTTACAGCAGCTATTAATTTTGGATTTCGAACCTTGCCAAATGAGTTTTGAAAATCTAAATTGTTTAACATCCACTTAATTATCCTTATCCATTATGGCAATACTATCTTTGAAAAACTGGCAATTTAGTATAGATTTAAGAAGCATGACTGCTTCTTAAATCTATGCTGGCTACCCTCTTCAAAGTGATTTTCCCTTTCTTATTGTGTCTTTTGAAATAGTTTGAAGCAGCGCTAGAAGAGTTACTGTACTAGCATTTAAGCCAGATTTCCATGTTTCTGCTAGGGACATGAGAGCTGCTGCCTTTATATCAATATTTTCTATCGACCTGAATGTCTGCTCAAAGTGTCAAAGCAACGTTTCACATGCTAGCTCGTCAGAAGCTGTATAGAAACCCCCAATAAGCCCAGCGGCTCTTACAGTTTAGCTGGGACAGTAGCTTCAAGAAGAATAATCCTCGCTTCTCTAGCCTCTCTTTATAACTGAAGTTCCTCATTCCTAGTACCAACCTGCTAAATCTCCTTTGCACCCTCTCCTGAGCTGTCTCCTATTCACGTAAGTCACCATAGTACACCAGCCACCTCCGCTCCCTTAAAGCACAGGTGAGTGCCGCTGAGCACCCCTGGCTTAAATCAAATTTAACGGTCCATCGGCAGATCTGGCTGGACCATATCAAATACTGCCACTCCGCCCTCATCTACACTAAATTGCCGTTCTACTCCCAAGACAATTTTGGACGCTAAGGACAACCCCAGGCTCCTCTTCTCCATCATGAACCAGCTCCTCTGCCTACCCTCTCATGCCTCATCCATCCTCACCTCAAATGCCAACTGCGAGGCGATGCTGGACTTCCTCTTCGAGGGAATCGGCTCAGCTGCCTCTGCCATTCCATCTCCTACCGCCTCCCATCCGGCCCCTACCCATAAGACATAGGAACAGGAGTAGGCCATTCGGCCCCTCGAGCCTGCCTCGTCATTTAATAAGATTGTGGTTGATCTTCTAACCTAATTCCATTTACCCCCCTGCCCATATCCCTTAATCCCTCTATCCTTTAGATAGAGGGATTAAGGGAGCCCTCCCTCCCTCCCCATCCATCCCTGCACACCTTTGAACCTGTCTCCCTCTCTCAACACCACTATAACCCGCATGAAACTGACCACCTGCTCCCTCGACCCCATCCCTACCACTCTCCTTACTTCCCAGCTCTACCTCCTTGCCCCTCTACTCACTGACATCATAAACCTCTCTCTGTCCTCTGGTACTGTTCCCACCCCATTAAAAACTGCCGTCATCACCCCTATCCTTAAAAAACCCTCCCTGGACCCATCTCTACCCATCTGCTGGCAGCATCAGCATCCACAGCTCTACACTCAACCTCACTAAGCCAGTCAGGAACCTGGGTGTCTTGTTTGACCCTGAACTGACCTTTCTCTCCTACATCTTCGCCATGACCGGCACTGCCTACAACCACCTCCGCAACAGTGCCAGACTCCGCCACTGCCTCACCCCTCAGGCTGTCAAAACCCTTACCCACACATTCGTCACATCAAGGCTCAATTATGGAAATTCTCTCCTCATCAGCCTTCTCAACTCTTCCCTTCACAAGCTGCAGATCATCCAAAACTCTGCAGCTCGTGTACTCTCGTGCACCAGGCTCCGTGACCCTATCACTTCCATCCTTGCCCGACTCCACTGGCTTCCCATCCCTCAGAGGATAGAATTCAAGATCCTTATTCTCACTTTCAAGGCCATCCATGGCCTTGCCCTCTCTGACCTGCTGACTCCCTACCAACCTCCGCTCACTCAGTTCATCAGGCTCCGGCCTGTTCCATGTCTCCCGCCCTACCATCAGTGGCCGAGCTTTCAGCCTCTCTGCCCCCACACTCTGAAACTCCATCCCACAGTCCCTTTGCCTCGCTTCCTCCCTTGCCTCCTTCAAGGCCAGTCTCAACACCTTCCTCTTCCTTCCGACATGAAAGGCGCTCCATAAATGTAATTTTGTTGTCGTTGTTGTATTCCCAAACTAGCGCCCCAGCTCCAACATCCCTTTCCTCTCCAAAGTCCTGGAATGAGTTGTTGCTTCCCAGCTTCACTCCTTTCTCTTCCGCCACTCCCTTCACGAACCCCTCCAATCGGGCTTCCGTGCTGCCCACAGCACAGAAACAGCCCTGGTCTAAGTGAGCAATGACATTCTATCCATCTGTGACCAGGGCTCCCTCTGCCTCCTTGTCCTCCTTGACGTCTCTGCTGTTTTCGACACCGTGAACCACTCTATCCTTATCCACTGCCTCTCCTCTCACCTCAACGGCTCTGTCCTTGACTGGTTCAGATCGTACCTCTCACACCGCCTCCACTTCATCTCCACAAACCGCTTCTACTCTAGCCCTCGCTCCGTCCATCTCATGTGGCGTTCCTCAGAGCTGTGTCCTTGGTCCCCTCCTCTTCAACGTCTATATGTTGCCTCTTGGTGTAGACATGGGGTCAACTTCCACATGTATGCGGATAACACCCAATTCTACCTGTCTGCCTCCACCCTTGACTCCAGGGCCACTGCTGTGCTGACAGAATGTCTGTGGAACATCAAGTCCAGGGTGAGAGATAACTCGTCAGAACCAGATGACTTATCTACCTTGAGCACCGTCAACCTTTTTAGTACCTCCTCTCTGTTTATACCTATCCTATTTCTCTACCCTCTCCTCCAATACTGTGGCTGCATCCTCTTCTTTTGTGAAGACAGATGCAAAGTACGTCAACCATGCCCGCTACCTCCAGAAGAAGATTTCTTCTTTGTCCCTAATTGGCCCCACCCTACCCTTGACTAACCTTTTATGCTTTATATGCTTATAAAATATTTAGGATTCCCTTTTATGCCACTTCAATATAGTTTGTTATTACTTACTGGTGAACTTGTGTCTTTAAATCCTTCCAAATTTTCAGTGAATTCTTGTAGAGACTATCTCAGCTTATCTCCTGACTTTGGTGCTAAGCAAGTAATGTCAGAGTCCTTTGCATTCTTAGTTCGTGAGTTCAACCTTTAGAGCATTACTAACAGGTGTGAACTCTGTGTAAGGACAGTCTTTGGATTAGCGGTTTGCATCTTCCACTTCCTGTTTCTGACATTATTCTTGCAGCAAAGATTGACACTGTTGAAAATTAGGATTAGTATATGTCAGTCATGTTCATTGGCTTTATAGCCACTGTATCAGTTAATGAAAATAGTGGCTTCCAAAATGGGTGGTGGGATCCAGAATAAAAATAATAGAATAAAAGTACAAAAAAAATGAAGCAGAAAGAATTGAAGAGAAAATAATAACTGGTAGGGTAAATTTTTTAAAAGTTTTAATTTTAACATCTAATTTCACAATTTAGGAATAATGTTACAATATTAGTTAACCTGGTTGAGGAACTTCATTACTATAGTAGTTAAGAACATAAGAAGATAAGAGTTGCTAGATGAAAGAAGACCAAGGTCTATCCAGTTCGCCTTCCACCATCCTGGCATGACATGTGTCCCACATTATATACTGTATCCCCAGATATTATTTCCTAAAGAAATCTTTCTGCTTCCACCACCTCCCTAGGGAGCCTGTTCCATACGCTTACTACTTGCTCACTGAAGTAGTGTTTCTTCAGATTTATTCTGAATTTATCCCCCTTCAGTTGCAGTTTTGCTTTTAGTTTTAGTTTTATTCAGCATCTGTATGTGAGCTGAAAAGATACAGAATTGGGCAAGCCATAGACAAATGTAGGTTTTTACACCTTTGGCAGTATATAGGTTAAGTGTATTTTAAAGCTTACTTTACTACCATCTCAGAGGTGTAGTGAACTAACCTGATTGAAAGTAAACTGACCTTATCTTGCTTGTTATGCAGATAATGCAGTTTTGAAGTCACATTTTTTTTGCTTAGGACTGCTAGTGAGTTGTACTTGTCAGCAAACATCACTTTCCTGTTGTCTCACATTTCTTCTATTTAGAGATGTCACTTGGTCTGTGCACAGAGCACTGGCCTTTTATTTAGATAGGATAAACAAGTTCTCTTGATATTAGCAGTTATTTCTTTTGGAATATGTCTTTAGGTTAAACCTATAATTAAAACGAGGAACATAGGAATACTTAATACTATTGCAGTCGTCTCGCTAGTCACAGTTCGTATTATGTAAACAGGAATTTGCGTTTACTTATAAAAGGATATGGTGGATGTTTGTTTCCAATTGCTTTGATAAATCTATTTCCAGATAGTGCAATGCTCTAACACAAAGTGAGTTGTACTGCTAATGTAAGGAATACAAATAAAATACTTCATTACTTTATTGAAAACCTATGGAATAATAAACTTCATATTTTTGGGGTGATTCAAAATAGGACACTGTATTTTTCAGGTGCTATATTTAGATGGTGAGAAACTGTGAACAGACCCTTTTTTGTCCTGATGATTTGTAATAGAGTAGCAAAGCAGTTTGGAATGGACAACCCTGTTTTACACTGAGCTGCACCATCTCACTCTAGCAAGGATTGGCGTAGTTCTTCACAAAACTAATCCCCAGTTTAGCTATTTTACTGGTTGCTAATTGTCTTTCTAGTAATATTAAAACCCTTTAGGGCAGTTCAGTTGTGGAAAAACCGAAACGTTATTATCCAAGGATAATCGGTTTCCATTCTTTATAATCCATAATTTTGAAATTGAGATCACAATGTATTTTTCTTTGCATCTTAAAATGCATTAGAAGATATAGGTACTTAGTCAAGTGTTTTTGATACATGGCTTCATTTAGAACTACTGTGTTCTTTTTCTCCAGGTGCATTAAACAGAACGTCTTGCTATACCCTTCACTATTTTTAGCTCCCGAGTTGTCGAGGGATTACAAGAGCTTATGAGGAAGTTCTGTTATGAAAAAATAAAACAGTGGCTGGAGGAAACAGCACAAAGTGAGGAGATTCGAACAGCACAGGAAGGAGAAGGGAGGCTGGAATAACAAGCGGAGAACCATGGTATGTCCTTGGGTAATGTTGCTTTTGACCTTTTGGGTTTATAACCAATCTTATGTGATAAATGAGGAAAGTAGCAAGAATTCTAATGAATGATTAGCAGCACAACCAGTAAAAGAAATTCAATAAACATTCTCCTGAACAGTTTGAGACGGGTATGAGGTGTTTGGTGCTGCTGCTTTGTGTGTGCAATGATTTATTACTGAGGCCTTCAAACCACAAGACGAGTCCTCCAGGGGTTGCAGCATATGAATTATTAATTACAAAGAGGATGTTCATAAATTACGTTTTCTAATGAAACTGGCGTTAACATGCCACTGTAAGCTGGCAAATGACCTTGGCGTGGGTACCGCATAGCTAAAATGTTAGGTTCTTGTCATTGTCCTCTGTGCAGCAAAATCGTTAGCATTGCAGTGAGTGAATGAGGATACTTTGATGGATGCACGGGCTGGCTTAGCTATTGTTAGGCAAACGGATGCTGTGTGTCAGCACTATCCATTTTATCTTATGCCTGATTACATTATTCCACCGCTTGATTACGTGGTGAAATCAGACACCATTAATATGATAGAATAAGGGAAACATTGCTGTATTTTTTTAATGAAAGTTGATTTTTTTGTGGTAATTAACTCATGACTTTCTTCTTTTGTTCTTGTGACCTTGCTGGCATGTTATTCTGTAACCTGATGTATATGCAATATTAAAAGTGAAAGTGCTGTGAGGCTAAATGAAAAACTAGTGTTAAGTTAGATAGGGTCATTAATTTGCTTGGATTTCTTTGTGAATTAACCCCCAAATTACCCCCCACCCATCCCACCCTCATTGCTTCAGTATGCCTGAAGGTTGAAGAAATCGTAGTGTTTTTCACCAGATGCTCAATGAAACTATAAGGTGGAGGTGCAGAGTTGGAAATCATTTGAACATAAGTAAATTGAGAAATTTTCACAATTTTGACAATATGTAGATTATTCTTCTGATATATCACCAACATTCTTATCATGTAATACCTGATGTGCATTCATAATATTCAATTAATAAAATGCTTGTGTAATTTAATCCTAATTTTGATATTTTTCTGTAATGTGGCAAACATCCTCGAATAAGCAGTAGGTGCACTTCAGTCAAATATCATTAATGGGGTCCTTTTTACGTGTGTCCTTTCTACTTAGTGCACCTCAACACTAGTGGAAAATTTACGACATCCAAATAAACTATTCTAAACTTTAACATTAAGTTGTTAATTGATAAAACTAATTAATAACAAGCATTATGTAGAATAGAAAATAACAATCTCAATATTCAACTGACATCCATGAACAATTCGAGCTTCACGTTCACAAGACAGTATGGAATCAGATGGACCCCTGGATGCAAGTATTTATCATTATACTCCCGAGTAGCTATTCCTGTATTACAACATTTGTTCCATGTTAATGGAGCACTTACTCATGCCTGCTCATGACTTGGGCCAATAGAAAAGTGTGGAATTATTTGCTTAATTGCGGGGGTTGGGGGTTCTCGAATTTGAGGAAAATTGCGGGATTGATTGATGCTTTTGAGGTACATTTTACTGCGTTTTACCTACGTTTTTTCACTTTATTGATAAAAACTAAACATGAAGAAACAACACATATTAGATTTTTGCAAAAACAAATATGATTTCTTCTTTGACAAAAACTGGATGGGCCAGTTGGTGGGGGGCAAGGACCCCAGCGTAGGCCCGAAGGACCTGGAGATCCACCAAAAAACAGACACTCAGGGCCAAGTGTCCTAACTGTGCCTCATGCCTCTCAGAGTCAGCCCTGCACACAGGCACAGAGAGACATACACAGACAGAGAGAGAGACACACACACACACACACACACACACAGAGACCATACACACATACAGACACAGAGAGACATACACAGAGAGAGACACAGACACAGAGAGACAATCACACACATACACAGACAGAGAGAGACACACATACACACACATTAACAGACACAGAGACATATGCACACACGGACACAGAGGGAGACACGCACAGACAGACACAGAGAAAAGAGACACACAGTGAGACAGAGAGAGACACACACACACAGAGACACACACACTCACAGACAAAGGCATACTCCAGACAGGGCGAAACCTTGGGCAAGTTTCCTTACTCCACACACCTAATAATAATCCCTCCAAAGCAAAAAACAATAATAAATTGGTCATTTTCAATCTACGACTGTTTGTAGGACATTGCTGTGCGCAATTGGCTGCCGCGTTCGCCCACAAATATACAGTCAATTCACTTTACAGTATATTCTGTGAAGCGCTTTGGGACGTCCTCCCGACGTGAAAAGTGCTATATCAAATGCAAGGATTATTATTACTCACACACAGAGGAGAGAGACCACATACATATTCACACAGACACTAATAAACACACATATAGATGAGAAACACACAAGCACATACATTAGAGAGAAGAGAGACACATTCACAAACAGACACACATACAGAGGAGAGACACGCACAAATATATAGAGAGAGAGACACACACACACACGAACAATCACAGCAGCGGTGACCTCTGAGTGGAATGAAGCCCATTACCCGCTTGCACGGTATCTGGAGCCGCCCCACCCACAGTGACATCAAGTAAACAGCACGAGAGGCAGGGCAAGGCACTACATGTTTAGTGGGTTTGTAGCGGAGCACGTTTATAACAGATTCTGCGAGGTAATTGCGGTTGCACTTTACTATTGGCCCGGTTCATGACTTAATGAGCAGAAAAGGTTTGGCATCTCGAAAATAGTTGTTTCTGAATAACGCACACTAACACTTTCCTGGGAATTTTGGAATGGAGAATTTTTCCTTGTTGCCTGTTCCTAATGATCCAAGGAGTGCCTGAAATGCTTGAGAACAAGTGGAATTATCCAAGAGGCAAGTATGGGATTACTCAATCCTCTATGTGCTCCCTCTGGCCCCTGGAGCCATGTTTGCATTTAAAATGTAAGCATAAGCTTCTGCAGTTCAGGGCAATTGCTTTCTCGGTACAGTGGTGGATACTCCTATTGACAACATTTTAACTTTGGGGCACAAAATCTATTTCTAGCTTACAGAGATTTCCCTTGACTAGACAAACGTGCATCTCTGGTGATCGTAAACGTATTGTGTTCAAGAAGAAATGCAACACTGTATTGTTACTTACATTACAATTACACCCCTCCCAATCCAGCCCCTAGCTCGGGTGCAAGCCCTCGACTTTGGGAGGTCCTTCCGACGTGAAAGGCGCTATGTGCAATTTGTTTTGTTTTACTTCATAATTCAAATTATATGCCTGGTAGTCTTCTCCCCCGATTGAAGTCAAACATTCATACTTTCACACAGCTATGAGATCCTATCTGCAAAAGTATTTTAATGTTCAGAGAATATATGTTCAGAGAATAGGTGCAGAGAATAGATAAAATAGACTTTTAGAATTGAAAAGTGCCCTTTTCCTAAAAATATGCTACAGTATGTGATTTGACAAATGCCCACTGCTAGATTTTTAATCTATTTAAAAATTCAACGTTTCTCTGTTAATTTGTAAACCCTTTCATATAAATATTCTTCTTTTTGCAGAGGCCAATTGGAACATTTGCAAACGATGACCACCATGTCATGGCAAAACATTCATCAGTTTACCCTTCCCAGGAAGAGCTCGAAGCTGTGCAGAATATGGTTTCAACAGTGGAATGTGCGCTTAAACACGTATCTGATTATTTGGATGAAACCAATAAATCAGTGACTGTAGAAGCAGATGCAGATGAAGATGGCGAAACCAGAAAAGAACTCTCTGCAGAGAGCAATACAATGTACGTTGGCACCTATTTTACCAAAGGATGATGAATTCCGACACAGAAGTGATGATTATGCTTGATTTTCATATGAATGTCAATTGACATTTCTTGCCTCAGTCTGTTAGGCTTTTGTCTGCCTTGCTTGCTGGTTGTGGGGGAATATAATAATAATAATCCTTGCATTTGATATAGCGCCTTACCATGTCTTTGAGACGTCTCAAAGCGTTTCACAGAATATACTGTAAAGTGAATTGACTGGAATTCAGTGTTAATTTGCAAAGCAGTTACAATATTTGTTTCTGCATTTAATCAAAACAAATTGTCCCTACTCTGCATCAGGAAATGTTCATGACTTTATAGATAACATTTCCTGAATTGTATCTTATATCTCTATCTTGTATGGGTGTAGATTGGAAAATGATACATTTTGAAAGCATCAAAGAGATTCACGTTTAAACGTTTGTTACTTCCAGATGCTTTAACACATTAGAATACTTTATTGAATTTTAAAAGAATTACAATTTGATATAACTGACTCTAGTTGTTATAACTACTTCAACAGTGATCAGAGTGGCCGAGTATTGTGTGGAGTGATGCGGATTGGTTTAGTGGCAAAGGGTTTGCTGATAAAGGGAGACCTGGATTTAGAGCTGGTGTTGATGTGTAAGGAAAAGCCAACAGAATACTTATTAAACACAGTCTATGTCAACCTGCCACTACAAATTCAGGTGAGTTCACTAAAATCTGTCACTATTGCTTGTAGGAAAAATTGTACCGTGCATAAATTGAAGTAATGTATGAATGTATGTAACAATTAAAAGCAGAGCTTAGCAGGCTTAATACTTAGCTCTGAATACATTATACTTGGGCACAATTCCATTATAACAACTACAACAATAATGTGCTTCAATTTTACTTCGTAAAGTGTAAATCTAAGATTAGATTAGATGGTGTAGTCAAAGTACTCCAACTATTGAGATTATTTAAGATATTCAAGAGTCTTGCTTGAACATAATTTGAAATGGAAAAACTTGTATAAAATTTTGTTTGGAAAGAAAGGTAGAAATAATAACATTTCAGCATTGAATTAGGTAAAAGATAACCAATACCTGGATTTTATCTTGAACAAAGTTTCTGGGTGATTAACTAAATTAATAATCTCCATAATAAAGGGATTCAATAGGGTAGATGCAAATAAACTATTTCCTCTGGTAGGGGAATCCAGGACAAGGGGGTATAATCTTAAAATTAGAGCTCGGCCATTTAGGAGTGAAATTAGGCAAGTTTTCACCCAAAGGGTAGTGGGAATTGCCTCTCCTCACTCATCCACCTTAACCAACCGCCAGCACTTCATCTTGGCCAATGGTTTTTCCTCTCACCTTCGCCCGGTCACCTGTAGTTTACCCATCCTTGCCCCCCTTTTCCTCATCTACCCGCTCCCTCTTGGAGTCCGCAGACACGGGGTCAACTTCCACATGTATGTGGATGACACCCAAATCTAGTTCTCTTCCTCCAGCTACGACTCCCAGTCCGAGGATGTTCTGTCACCTTGTCTGACAGACATCAAGGCCTGGATGAGCGCAAACTTCCTGTAGCTGAACATTGACGAGACGGAAGCCATACTCTTTGGCTTCCGTCAACATCTTCTCTCCAGCGGTTCAGACCTCCTCACCGACCCGATTCGTACCCCACATACAGTCCCTGGTTAGGACCACTTTCCTTCACCTCTGCCAAATTTCCCGCCTCCATACATACCTCACTCCAAAAGCTGCTGAAACCCTCGTCCACACCTTCATCAACACCCGCCTTGACTACTCAAACGCTCTTCTCACTGGTCTCCCCTGCTCCTCTATTCACAAAATTCAACTAATTCAAAACTCCGCCGCTCACATTCTCACTCGCACTAAACTCCGTACCTCCATTACCCCAGTCCTTGTCAAACTCCATTGACTTCTTGTCACAGAGCGGATTGACTTCAAACTCCATTGACTTCAAGATCCTCACTCTTGTATGTAAGAGTTAAGTGCCGTTCAGCATGAAGGCCTCTGTAGCAATGCAAGTTATTGTTATTGGAAATCTCGCCTCCACCAAAAGGATGTAGATGCCGGTACCGTTCATATCTTCAAGATTGAGGTGGATAGATATTTGTTAGGTCAGGGTATTAACGGATATGGGGCAAGGGCAGGTAATTAGAATTGAGGTACAGATCAGCCGTGATCTTCTAGAATGACAGAACAGGTTCGAGCACTGAATGGCCTACTCCTGTTTCTGCACTAGAGTCACTGTTGCAAGGTCGTTTTCTTGACCTGAAGGATACATTTTTGTTAACTTAGAATGATATTTATCTTGCATTTTTTTGTTTACTAACTTCAGAAAATCTCAGAGGAAAAATATGAATTTGAGAAACTTTTGGATGAGGCAGCAATCATTGTGCAAAATACAAAAGACCCCAGACTGACGTTGAGGATTATTTTGAGCTCACCTATGGTGAGAGATGATGTGGAAAAGAAAGAAGTTGGAGGTATATAGTCATTTATTTTTCAAACACTTGTTTCAATTCTTTATGTGTGTTGTATGCTGTAAGACTTCTGTGGTCTTGCAGAGCAGGTTTTAAGTATACAGCATAAAAAACAAACATTGCGATCAAACAAAATTTATCATGGAAATGTAGAAGAGTAATTTGCAAAATGAAAGTTCTAAATTGCTCAGTACTTCAAACATAATCCATAATAACAATCTGTTTAAGCACAGAATCAAAATGTATCCTGGAGATATACTGATAAAAAAAACTGGATTATAATATTCTGAACCATTCCTTCTAAAAGTAAAGCACTGAATATTTGCCATTCTTAGAAGAAAAATACTTTTTTGTATAACCTGTTAGCTACATTATCACAGAACGTGTTTTAACCACATGTGGATGTTGTGAAATTTGCTGCATTTTTAATTTTAATATTTATAGTGTGAGTATTGCTGATGCCCCATCTCAGAGCTACAAAAATGATGTCAACCAACAGACAACGTTCAGTGTGTTCAGGTGGTTAGATCCAGGATTTCCATATCTTTAATTGTCTGTGTGTAGGCATAGATGATTGTACTTAGCATTTGTCAAAATGTGGGTATTTAATTATGTATGTATCACAGCACATGTGACCACAATTCTATTAATCACTGATGGTTGACACTGCACAATTTGTTTTGTCCAGAATATTATGAAGTTCAGTTGGTAGCTTAGGCGCTATATCAAATGCAAGGATTATTATTATTGTATATGGTCAACATAAGGATTCATTTTAGAAAGCAGCTCTTATATAACATACTTTTAATGCACTGATAATAAATTGGTTGAGTAACAGTTTACCATTAGAATAAAAACTGAAATGTTGCATTTAATGTAGAAGTTTGTTCTGATAGGTAGTGTGTATTAATGACAAACTTGTTTTAGTCACAAGCAGGACTCCATGCTGAAAGAGTAAGTTATAAACACAATTATTTCTCCTCAATTATGTCTTGAATCCATTTATTCCAATCCACATAAATTGGTAAGAGCGCTGAGATTGGGAAAAAAAACAAGGTAGTCAGAATAAATAAACAATATAGTTGTGTTGTAATGTTGCTTAAAGATTAATTTACCTTTACGCATTTTTTTGCTTTAGCCTCCAAAGCGCGTCACTGATAGTTTGTTGAGCCTTACAGGACAATGTCAGACCTTTGACCAACTGGCCGCTCTCTGTCATGGGAACGGAGGCAGCTGTGCCCACCTGGGCAGGAGGGGACTCCCTGTTGCTGTTCTCTCCATTTTCTAGACTTGCTACGAGTCCCTTCAGTAATATTACTACTGTTCAGCAAGAAATTTTGGTGTTAAATTGCCACTCATGGTTTATGCTTAAGAAATTGTGTGAATTAAAAATAATGGCTGCTTAGTGAGCCATATTACTGATTTGAGTGCAGTTGAATTGGCAGATAGCAATATGACAACATCAATCCCAACCAGAATTTCCTGCAATACAGTACCGTCACTAATCAGCACCCAAAGCAGTGTGAGCTGAAGGGAACTTACTCAGCTGTGTACATTTTGTCTTCTATGAATGGTTCATGTGCATTCATGCCCTGCTTTTTGACAGTCTAGCCTTGGGGAAAGATTGAGGGATGTGCTCAAGCTACTGCATATTTGAAAAAGTTGAGCTGAGCAGGTTGTTGACACCTATTACCATATGTTGGTAATACTAGGGCTAGAAATTGTATTGGCTGCTAACAGAATTTAAGAATTTACTTGTTCTCACCATATTAATATTCTCATTAACTACAATTTTGCCTCCGTTTAGATTTTTTTTAGACTTAAAATGTTCTTGTTTTTTGAAACTTCGATCTCTTGCAGCTTTTAGAATTCAAGGATTCCAAGTACAGCTTGAGATATTAAATTGATTCAACCTGCTCATAATTGGGTGTCACTAAACCTCACAGCGACAGTAGCTATCATTTTCCTTTGTTAAAAGGGAGATGCTTTCTGCTGTGCTTTCTGAAGCCAATTATTGATTTTATCCAAAGACCAATTGCAGCGTGTTGGAACACCTTGTACGGTTTGCAACCACTACCACGCGAATCACAAAGCAAACTTGTTTATCATCTGCAATTACAAGAATTATATATTAGTTGTTTGGGGAAGGCTTTTAATTTGAAACCCCAAATTGTACAGGGCATGAAGTGAACACATGAGTGTTTTTAAAAGGGACTTTGGTGCAAGTCTACCCATTCACTGCCTGCTCTTTGTCCCCTATCCTCATGTTTTTTCAGTAGAACTTGCATGTAAAAGATGACTGACTGCAAAATAAATTTCTAATTGATTGTTTACATAAGTATGTTTAAGAGCCCTTCGGTGTTATCTAATTGATTTACATCTAGTCTTTTAGACCAATTTCCAATTTAGTAGTAGGAACAATGTTACAATATCATAAATCCAAGGACATAGCAGAACTATGTAGAGTCCTTGTTGTTCAGTTGTTAAGAGTACTCGCTTCGCAAGTGAGAGACCTGGGTTTGATTCCTGGCAGTGCGAAATGTTGGGCAAGTTCCTTACTCCACACGCCTCTGTTCACGTAGCAGTAAGTAGGAACCCGTTTGTTAGTCAATTGGCGGATTGCTTTTCCGGGGGGAATAATTCCTTCAAAAAAAAAAAAAATTGGTCATTTCAATCCATGACTGTTTGTGAGACACTGCTGCCGCGTTTTGCCCACAAAAAAAATACACAGTCAATTAATTTTACAGTATATTCTGTGAAGCGTTTTGAGACGTCTTGAAAATGTGGTAAGGCGCTATATCAAAGGCAAGGATTATTATAGAACGTAGTTGGAGTACTACATTGATGATGTCGGAACACAATGTATTTTATCAGGTCTGAATGAGAATTTGTAATAAAGTGCCTACTGAAAAACAATTGTCCCTGCAGACAGTCATCCTTTATGCAGTCTAATCCAATGTTTTAGACTATTAACTACCCATCTACAACAGTTTATCTCTATATCCCCTGTATAAGAAATATTGTACTTATAGCAGATGTTTTTGTGGCTTTTAAAAAACAGAACTCTACCTGCTTAAAATACTTTTTTTTAAAGGTATCATTCAGAATTCTGAAAATTCAGTGGAGGTAAACTGCTTGGTTGAGTTTCTGTTGCATTTTAATACCTGTGTTGCATGTTTTAATTTCATAAACCTAACTTGAATTGACAACTTGACCAAGAACTTTTCAGGATGAACAAAAAAACTTGCACAAGGGATTAAAATGGTAAGGCCAATCCACACAGAATTAAATTCTGATTATCTGGGTCCTAAATACCAACTAAAAGGTAGAATATACTAAGGATAATTTTATATGTTCATGTTCATATGAACTGTTCAGGAAACTGAGATGTGAGTGAGCAACTTAGTTGCAAATTGAAACGACACAAAAATGGAAAAGGGAATATTTTTACTAATAAAAAAAATACCCTGCCAAGTTCTAAAGCTTGTGGTAAACATTTATCAAATTACCCAAGAAAACGGAAGTTAAAGTGGTCTGGCTAAGAGTCAACAAAAGTATCTGCTGTGTGGTATAATCTGTTGTGTTCTGCATTTTGAATAAGACTCAGAATCATGTACTCTGTAGTTGATATGCCATTGATTCGTATCCCGAATGAATGCCTTTTGCTTCTGTCTCACATGTTCACATTACTGTAAATGGCTGTTGTAGTAACCACAATGCACTATTAAACCATTAAATTTCTGGGAGCCTTGTTTGCCTAGGTTGCTGCCGATCCCTAGTACTGAATGACAGAAACCCCTTGGTCAAACTGTATCTGTCTTCTTATTCCATTCACCAATAGAAAGTGTTGCGATGAAAGATCCACCGGACTTATTGGACAGGCAGAAATGCCTAAACGCCTTGGCGTCTCTGCGACATGCCAAATGGTTTCAGGTTGGCTACTTGTTCTTACCTTATTGTTATTGTAGCCTTATGAGGATTTTGTGTTTAAATTATTTGTTGTTCTATTAACACGCTGTTAATATTCTTAATTTGCTGATTATAACGTTGGTACTCTTCACACAAGTTTTGTAAGTTCAGTACATTTACTGCAATAATAGGTAGTTTTTTTTTGACTAGATATCATGAGGCTACAAAAGCAATTGTTAAACATAATGCTTCTCGCTTGTACTTGAAGTGTGCCATTCTGTAGATGGAGTTTTTTTTCCCTGTAAATGTTATTTTTTTGTTTGCATGAAAGATTATTTAACTTAATTTTATGTTACTGAGATATGCCAAGGCGAACGTTACTCTAGTAGTACTAAGCAGATGATGTATTACAACAATTTTGTATATTTTAGGCAAGGGCAAATGGATTAAAGTCGTGTGTAATTGTGATTCGTATTCTTCGTGATTTATGCAACCGAGTACCCACATGGGGACCATTGAAAGGATGGGTAAGTTTTAAACATCGACTGTTCTTGAGGAAAAAGGAATCGTCCAAAGACATGGCAACCAGTACCTTTGAGTGCTTTATGTGCTTTGAATCCCAGAACAGGACAATTCACAATATACAATGAGTATAACATTTTGCATTTGTGCTACATTTTGTGAAAACATGGTTCAGCAAAAATATTGGTTTTGACATTTTCACAGCCACTTTGTGCGAGAGCACATGTTAAAGGAGTTGTCTTCACAGTAAGAAATTAATTTGGTCTTACTCCAAATGCAACAATGTACATTTTCAGAAAGTTTGTTTCCTAAGTTCCGTTTGAGAGAAATTAAAGTTTTTATTTGAGAATAAATTTGAGAGTATTTTATTTTTTATTAACTCATCCTAAATATTTCAATTATAAAAGCTATACCTGTATGTGTAAATCGTTCTCTTGTGCTTGCTGCTATTTGTGACTGATTGCTTGTTCCTTTATTACATTTAGCCCCTAGAGCTTATTTGTGAAAAAGCCATAGGTACTAGTAATAGACCATTAGGGGCTGGTGAAGCTTTGAGACGTGTGATGGAGTGCTTGGCATCAGGGATTCTTCTGCCTGGTAAGAGTTTCAAGTGGTAAATGGAATTAAAACTTATGCGATTATTCTTTCTAATCTATCCTAAAATATGAAACCTTAATTCATTAAGATGAATTGTCCACAGTTTTCACATACGTCGTAAGAATAAACAGTTTGATGTAGCAAACACTCTTGGTTGCAATTTAAGGAAAGTATAAACTCCCATTTAGGAACACAAGGAAACAGGAATGACGGGAGGCCATTCAGCCCATTGAGTGTTCCATCTGTATATATTGAAACAACTTTTGCCTGCTTGCCACGAACATCAAATACTGAACTTTACAATAATTCAACTAATGTCTGTGATAAACTCAACTAATGTCTGTGATAAACAAAACAGAAGTCACTGGGAACACTCAGCAGGTCAGGCAGCATCTATGGAGAAAGGAAAGTGAGTCAACGTTTTGGGTCCATGACCCTTTGTCAGAACTGGAGCATGTTGGGAGGGAGAGGCTTTTAAGGGCTAACAGAGAGGGGGGAGGCAGGGCAAGGAAGACAAAGGAGAAAATGGGGTAGAGGATAGGAGATGATAGGTTAAAGAGGTGTTAATGATGCAAAACAAAGGGGGGGGTTGCTCAAAACGGGAAAGGAGGCGTTAATAATGCAAAACAAAGGGGGGATCAAAATAGGCAGACCAGAGAGAGAAAAGGTGTGTCTGGGACCCAGATGATGTGGTGATGGTCACAGAAGAGATGGGTTGGCGAGCGGGGGGAAGGTGAGCTGTTATGGTTTGAAATTATTGAAATAAATGTCTGTGGTAAACTCAACATGTAAATTGCTTCCTCTGTAGGTGGTCCGGGTTTACATGATCCCTGTGAAAAAGAGCCAACAAATGCATTGATCTCAATGACTCCACAGGAAATGGACAATATTACCCATAGCGCCCAGGTACTCTTAATGTCAGTACAATCAAGCGCTACATCACGTTATTCAGTGGCAAGGCAGCACTGGATCTAGTTTTCTGGAACTCCATCCCCCAGTGCCTTCGCATTGCTTCCTCCCTTTCCTCCTTCAAGGCCGGTCTCAAGACCTTTCTCTTTGACCGTGCCTTCAGCTCCCCTCTCGACTCTCTACCCCCTCCTCGCTCCCTCCCTTCCCTCCCCTCACCCTGACCATTTCCCCCCTCCTCGGGTCCCGACTCAACTGTCCAGCGCGTTGGGACGTCCTCCCGACGTGAAAGACGCTCTGTAAATGAAATCTTGTTGTTGTTGTTGGGAATGAAATGGGGCAAATGGAGCAGGTTTCAGTAGGAGAGCATCTGGACAACAGTGACCGCAACATCATTAGGTTTAGAGTACTTATGGAAAGGGACAAGGAGCAATCAAAGGTGAAGATACTCAACTGAAAGAGGCTAATTTCAGTGAGTTAGAAAGGGACATCGCCAAGATGGACTGGAAAGAAAGATTGGCAGGTAAACAGCTAACGAGCAATGGGAAGCCTTCAAAGAGGAGATGGTTCAGGAACAGAATAAATACATTCCCACAAAGGGGAAATGTAGGGCATCCAAACCTCCCTGGATGACTAAGGAAATTGGGATTAAAATAAAACAGAAAAGGGAGGTTTATGATAAATGTCAGGTCCAAAATACAGAAGATAATCAAACAGAATATAGAAAGTATAGAGGAGAACTGAAAAAGGAAATAGGAGGGGCAAAGAGATTGTATGAGAAAAGATTAGTGGGTAATATAAAAGGGAACCGTAAGGTATTTTATAAGCATATAAAGAATAAAAGTTTAGTCAGGTAGGGTGGGCCAGTTAAGGAAATTCCGCTCCAAAGAGGAAATCGTCTTGTGGAGGCAGAGGGCACAGCTGATGTACTGAATAAGTACTTTGCATCTGTCTTCACAAAAGAAGAGGATGCAGCCAATGCCACAGTATCGGACGAGAGGGTAGAGAAATTGGATAAGATAAGAATAAACCGACAGGAGATACTAAAAAGGTTGTCTCAGGGTAGATAAGTCACCCGGTCCGGACGGGAGGCATCTTAGGTTACTGAGGGAAATAAGGGTGGAAATAGCACAGGGTCTGGCCACAATCTTTCAATCCTCCTTGAACACCAGTGTGGTGCCAGAGGACTGGAGGGTTGCAAATGTTAATCCCCCTATACAAAAAGAGGCAGGAGGATGAACCCGGGAACTACAGGCCAGTCAGTGTAATGCCAGTAATGGGAAACTTCTAGAGACAATAATCCGGGACAAAATAATTTTTCACTTAGAAAAATATGGGTTAAGAAAGGACAGTCAACACGGATTTGTTAAAGGGAAATCACGTCTAACAAACCTGAGGGTTGTTTGAAGTAACGGAGAGGGTGGATGAAGGTTGTGCAGTTGTTGTAGTTTATATGGATTTTCAAAAGGCATTTGATAAAGTGTCACGTAAGAGACTTGTAAGCAAAATGGAAGCCCACGGTATTAAAGGGACAGTGGCAGTGGATACAGAACTGTCTGGGAGACAGAAAGCAGAGAGTGGTGGTGGACTGTTGTTTTTCTGACTGGAGGGAAGTGTGCAGTGGTGTCTCTCAGGGGTTGGTATTGTGACTACTGCTGTGTTTGATCTATAAAATGACCTGGACGTGGGTATAGGGAGTATAATTTCCAAGTTTGCAGATGATGGTAAGCTGGAAAAGTAGTGAACAGTGAGGAGGATAGTAACAGACTGTAAATGGACATAGACAGACTGGTAACACGGGCAGACACGGGGCAGATGAAGTTTAATGTGGAGAAATGCGGAGTGATGCATTTTGGGAGGAAGAATGAGGAGAGGCAATATACGCTGATGGTACAATCTTAAAGGGGGTGAAGGGACAGAGAGACCTGGGGGTCATATAGTAAATCTTTGAAGGTGGCCGGACAGGCAGATAAAGCTGTTAAAAAAGCATATGGGATACAAGGCTTTATAAACGGGCGGAGTCCTGTAGCTCAGTGGTTGGAGCACTTGCCTCGCAAGTGAGAGACCTGGGTTTGATTCCCAGCAGGGTGAAACCTTGGGCAAGTTTCCTTACTCCACACACCTGATAATAATCCCTCAAAAAAAACAGTAATAAATTGGTCATTTCAATCCATGACTGTTTGTGGGACACTGTTGTGCTCAATTGGCTGCCGCATTCGCCCACAAATACAGTCAATTCACTTTACAGTATATTCTGTGAGGTGCTTTGAGACATTTAGAAGACATAAAAGCGCTATATCAAATGCAAGGATTATTATTATTATAGAATACAAAAGTCAGGAAGTTATGATGAGCCTTTATATAAAACACTGGTTAGGCCTCAGCTACAGACTGTTCAATTCTGGGCCCCACACTTTAGGAAGGATATCAAGGCATTGGAGAGGGTGCAAAGGAGATTGACCAGAATGGTACCAGGAATGAGGGCCTTCAGTTATCGGGAGAGGTAGAGAAGCGAGGGTTATCCTCCTTGGAGCAGAGAAGATTAAGTGGAGACTTGATAGAAGTTTTCCAAATGATGAGGGGATTCGAAAGGGTGAACAAGGAGAAACTATTCCCACTGGCGGGTGGGTCGGTAACCCGAGGACTCCAATTTAAAATAGTTGTTAAAAGAAACAGAAGGGAGGTGAGGAGAAATGTTTTTACACCGCGAGTTGTAGACGCCGTCGGCTGTCCTACAACACCCATCCTGACTGCTCCTTCCCCCGCTCTCACCGCAAGGCCCACCGGCCCTCACTCACGGGAGCCGACCTCTCCTCCCTCACTCACATCCCCATCCAACCCGCCTTCCCATCCCCTCCCACACTCCACCACTAACTGTCCCCTCCACATCGGTCTGCAGAATGTCCGCTCATTAACTAACAAGTCCCTCACAATCCATGACCTCACCATCGAGGAAAATATCGACATCCTTGCCCTCGCTGAAACCTGGGTGTCACCCCAGGCAACACCTTCCCACTAGTTGAGGCCACACCTCCAGGTTACACCTTTCACCAAACCCCACGGCCCAATCGCCATTGTGGTGGTATGGCTCTCATCTCCCAGTCCCCCCTCGGCCTTTCCCCTTACTCCTCCGGAACCTTCCTCTCCTTTGAACACCTTACCCTCTAGCACCCCTCCAGACTTTCCTTCAAAATCCTCGTGTTTACCGTCCCCCCAAGCCTTCCCCCACCTTCCTCTCGGACATCTCCACCCTCCTATCTTCCCTCTTCCTCTGCTCTGAATGCCTCCTTATCTTAGGCGACTTCAACCTCCACTTCACCCCCTCCTGCTCTACCTGTGCCGATTTCTCCTCCCTCCTCATCCACTCCCACACCCACGTCCGTGGCCACCCCCTTGACCTGGTGATCACCCGGGGCCTTACCGTCTCGGACATCATCATCATCGATAAAGCCATCTTGGACCACCACTTCATCTCCCTCAACACCTCCATACCCCTTCCCCCTTCCCAACCATCCACCATTACATACTGTCCATGGAAAAAAATGTCCTCCCTCTCCACTGCCCTGGAGTCATCTGAACTCCTGCACCTCTGGCCCTCCCTGACCGATCTCCCCTCCTCACTCTCCTTTCTCCACCACTCCCTCTCCTCCAGTCTGGACTCCCTTGCCCCCCTCACCTCCCGAACTGCCTCATACTCCCGTAAATCCCCCTGGTATACCAGCCATCTCTGTTCCCTCAAGGCCCAAGTGTGAGCTGCCGAAAGCGCCTGGACCAAATCCAAACTAATGGTCCATTGGCAGATTTGGCTTCACCACACCAAGATCTACCGCTACGCTCTTGCCTCCGCCATATCCTCCTTCTACTCCAAGGTTATCTTGGGGGCAAAGGACAACCCCCGGCTTCTCTCTCCCACCACAAACCATCTCCTCCGTCCACCTTCCGACACCTCGCCCATCCTCTCCTCAAACTCCAACTGTGAGGAGATGCTGGACTTCCTCGAATCTAAAATCGAGGGGATACGTTCAGCCACCTCAGCCCCGTCCACAGCCACCCCCACATCACCTCTCCCTCATGACCCACCCATTCTCCCCATGCTCCTTCGACCCTATCTCTCCCTCCTCCCTCACCACGACTGTCCTCAAATTCAAACCCACCATCTGCTCCCTCGATTCCTATCCCCACCTCTCTCCTCGTCTCCCAGCTCCAACTTCTGGCCCCCCTCCTGTCCGATGTCATCAACCTCTCTCTGTCCACCGGTTCAGTTCCCACCCCCCTAAAAACGGCCATCATCACCCCCATCCTGAAAAAACCTTCCCTGGATCCATCCCTCCTCTCCAGCTACCGCTCCATCTCTAACCTCCCATTCGTCTCCAAGGTCGCGTCCCAGCTCCACTCCTTTCTCTCTCACCATTCCCTCTTTGAACCCCTCCAATCCGGCTTCCACACTGCCCACAGCACAGAAACAGCCCTGGTCACAGTCACTATTGACATTCTGAACATCTGCAGTCAGGGTTCCCTCTGCCTCCTTGTCCTCCTCGACCTCTCTGCCGCCTTCGACACTGTCGACCACTCCATCCTCATACACCGCCTCTCCGCTTTACTCAATCTTGTACCCTTGCCTGGTTCAATTCCTATCTCTCACTGTCTCTACTTTGTTGCCTCTAACGGTTTCTCCTCCAGCCCCCGCACTGTTACATCTGGCGTCCTCCAGGGCTCTGTCCTTGGCCCTCTCCTCTTTAATATCTATATGCTCCCCCTTGGTGACATCATCCGCAGACACAGGGTCAACTTCCACATGTATGCGATGACACCCAACTCTATCTTTCTGCCTCCACCCTCGACTCCAGGACCCACTACTGTCCTGACAGACTGTCTCAGTCTGTCTCAGCCCTCAAGTCCTGGATGAGGGCAAATTTCCTACAGTTGAATGTGAACAAGTCCGAGGCCCTCCTGATTGGCTCGCACCAGCGCCTCCGGACCTCAGGCTCTGGCAGCATCACCCTCCATGGTTGCACACTACAGCTCACCAGCCAGTCAGGAACCTGGGGGTCTTGTTCGACCCTCAACTGTCTTTTCTCCCCCACATTCAAGCCATGACCTGCTCTGCTTCCCTCACCTCCGTAACATCGCCCGACTCCGCCACTACCTCACCCCTCAGGCCGCTGAAACTCTTGTTCATGCCTTCATCACCTCCAGGCTCGACTATGCAAATGCCCTGCGTGTCGGCCTTCCCAACTCCTCCCTCCACAGGCTGGAAGCCGATTCGATAACAACTTTTAAGAGAGAAATAAATAATTATTTGGGGAGGACAAGTTTGCAGGGCTATGGGGTTTAGAGTGGGAGAGTGGGATTGATAGCTCTTTTCACTGATACACTGGGCCGAATGGCCTCCTTCAGTGCTGTATAATTCTGATTCATCCTCAACATTGGCTTTCTCTTGAAAATGGGTATATTCAGAAATGCCCAATGTGATGGTGCCTGAATAAGTTAAAACATTATAAATTTATCACATTATATGTACATAAAATATTCTTTTCTTTTACCTCATTACTGATTTTTTTCTCGTTCCAAGAGATGAGAAAAAAATATTATTAAGAGGGCAGTCAGGTGGCTTATCCCCGGTCTCTGATAAGACAGCTATGAAACTTGTTCATAGGAAATGCACCAGACTAGTGTAAATCATTTGTCACTCCTTCACTCTGTTGCACATCATTAAATTGCGTGGCTAAGATCAGATTTGCACTTCTTAGGGGGAGGTAAGCAGAGTCTCCTTGGAACTGAACTGGCTCCAAAGTGACATGTTTGCAGCAGAATGTCGGAATTGAGCTCTGTGGTGGCCTGTAATCTGGTTCCTGCCCCCACCCTTTGGAACTCCATCCCACAAGTCCTTTCACCTCGCTCTCCCTTGCTTCCTTGAAGGCACATCTCAAGACCCTTCTCATCGACCGTGCCATCGGCCACCCTGCTATCCCTAGTCTCCCTGCCCTCCACCCCTCCTGATCCCAACCCCCAGCTCGGGTCCAAATCCTTAACTGTCCAGCATCTTGGGCCGACCTTCCGATGTGAAAGGCTGCATTGAATTATGCATGCACAGTGTAGATTATTGATTAAATCAAGGTTTATACAGTATGCTTGCAACTCGGACTTGGCTTAGTTCATAGTAAATGTTGTGGTCCTGACTGATATGACTTGTGAGTTTTACTGTATATTACAAAAGTCTAGAATTTGAAGAAGGTTGATAACAGTTTATATGCACACACTTAATTGTTTTGTTTTCCTACGTTTTGTGTCCTCTAGCATGCACTTAGACTGATGGCTTTTGGTCAAATGTACAAAGTACTGGAAATGGACCCACTTCCATCAACTAGATCTGCATTTCACAAACGTTCCAGATCACTGAGTGAGCGAGATGGTGGGTAAATGTTGAATTCTTGTACAATCTAAATATGGATTTTCTATTGAAGGCTTAATCTGTTGTAAGTGATTAACAGCTAGGCTGACCAGAATAGGTTATGTAATCCTTGTTGGTTTGTTTAAAACTCATAGCAGTGTACATTATTGTTCTATCAGAAAATCAGGCACTGGCTCCATTCTTATTTACTCTCCATTCTAATCGTCATTCTACTCTTAGACAATCTTGGAGGCTAAGGACAACCCCAGGCTCCTCTTCTCCATCACAAACTGGCTCCTCCGCCCACTCTCTCATGCCTCACCCATCCTCACCTCAAATGCCAACTGCGAGGTGATGCTGGACTTCCTCGAATCCAAAGTTGAGGGAATCCGCTCAGCTGGCTCTGCCACTGCAACTGCTACCCCCTCCCCATCTCCTCCTCCCACCCCAGCCACTACCTACCCCTCCCTCCACACCTTTGAACTTGTCTCCCCTTCCTCTCTCATCATCGCTATAACCCGTTTAAAACCACCACTTGCTGCCTTGACCCCATCCCTACCCCCTCCTTACCTCCCAGCTCTACCTCCTTAGCCCTCTACTCACTGACATCATTAACCTCTCCCTGTCCTCTGGTACTGTTCCCACCCCTTTAAAAACTGCTGTCATCACTCCTATCCCTAAAAAAACCCTCCCTGGACCCTTCTCTACTCCCTAACTGTAGCCCCATCTCCAACCTCCCTTTCCTCTCCAAGGTCCTGAAACAGTTGTTGCTTCGCTCCTTCCTCTCCCGCCACTCCCTTCTCGAACTCATCCAATCGGGTTTCTGTGCCGCCCACAGCACAGAAACCGCCCTGGTCAAAGTGACAAATGGCATTCTGTCCATCTGCGACCAGGGCTTCCTCTGCCTCCTCGTCCTCCTTGACCTCTCTGCTGCTTTCAACGCCATCGACCACTCTATCCTCATCCACCGCCTCTCCTCTCACCTCAACTTCCAGGGCGCTGTCCTTGATTGGTTCAGATTGTACCTCTCACACCGCCTGCACTTCCATCTCCTCAAACAGCTTCTCTTCTAGCCCCCAAACCATCTTGTGCGGCGTTCCTTGGGGCTCTGTCCTTGGTCCCCTCCTCTTCAATATCTATATGCTCCCTCTTGGTGACATCATCCGCAGACATGGGGACAACTTCCACATGTATGCGGATGACACCCAACTCTACCTTTCTGCCTCCACCCTTGACTCCAGGACCAACTGCTGTCCTGACAGAATGTCTGTCAGACATCAAGTCCTGGATGAGAGCGAACTTTCTACAGTTGAACGTCAACACGACCGAGGCTCCTGATTGGCTCCCGTCAGCGCCTCCTCACCTCAGGCGCTGACACCATCACCATCCATGGTTGCACACTCCACGTTGCTAAGTCAGTCCAGAACCTTGGGGTCTTGTTTGACTCTCAACTATTCTTTCTACCCCACATCTGTGCCATGACCCGCTCTGCCTTCCCCCACCTCCGCAACATTGCCCGGCTCCAATACCGTCTTACACCGCAGGCCGCGAAACCCTCATACATGCCCCTCATACATGCGTTCATTACATCCAGGCTCGACTATGCAAACCCCCTGCTTGTCAGCGTTCCCAACTCCTCCCTCCACAGGCTGCAGATAATCCAGAACTCTGCAGCGCGTGTCCTCTCCCGCACCAGGCTCTGCGACCCTATCAACCTTGCCCAACTCCACTGGCTTCCCATCACGCAGAGGATACAGCTCAAGATCCTGGTCCTCACCTTCAAAGCCCTCCATGGTCTTGCTCCCCCCACTACCTTTTCAACCACCTACCACCCTGTTCACTCCCTCCGTTCAGCGGGCTCCGGCCTCCTTCACATCCCCCGTCTTGCTTGCCCCACAGTGGGCGGGCCTTCCGCCAATCTGCACCCGCCCTCTGGAACTCCATCCCGCAGTCTCTCCGTCTTGCCTCCTCCCTCGCCACCTTCAAGATCCTCCTCTTCGACTGTGTTTTCGCTCTCCCTGCTCTCTCCCCCCCCCCCGGCTCTCCACCCTCCCCCACCCCGACTCTCATCTCCGGTCCGTAACTCGGTCCGTCCAATGCCTTGGGATGTCCTCCCGACATGAAAGGGCGATGCAGATGTAATTTGGTTGTTGTTTTGTCCATTTATTTTTCTACATAGATATGAAGAGAGCACTGACAGTTCAGATCCTAGTATCAGACCGATGCAATATAGATCAAAGTAAAATCGTTTCTCAGATCTTTCAAACAAAAGTTGCGCATGAAGTAAAATTCTTTACGGTTTTATTTGTTTCAGGATTTCTCTCTGCACCTTTGAAACGACCGTATGAGGATAGTATGGGAGACGACAAAGATCCAAACAAAAAGATGAAAAGAAACCTGAGAAAGAGTAAGCAAACGTTTGGTGTCTGAACTCTTCTACAGAGAACAGTAGGCAGCATTTATTCCCTTTTCATTCCAAGTATCTTATTATCTAAAGAATTTCCCCATTCATATTTGCAACGTTCTCTTTTATCTAATGAAATATAGAAATTCTGCAGCATTTTTAAAGTTAAGATATATATATTTTGAGAGTATGTAGTAATCAGTCATTTATAATCTGGATTTGTTAGGCACAACCTGTTTTTTTGTTAATAGAACTTCAGTAATAGGTGTTTCTTTGTATTGAACATTAGTTGGCCATTACTTTTAGCATGGGAACCAACCAGGGTACAGGAAGCCATCCAGCTGGCTCAGTGCATGCGCACTGTAACCAGCTGTCACTCCTCGCTATAATACAGCTTTGGGTTTAATGGATCCCCAAATACTGCATTATAATGAGCCTGCAATATAATTTGAATGGAATTAAACCTCAATGGATATTGATGTAACCTGAAAATCTGTTCCACATTAGACAGTTCAACGCACTCTTTTTATGCATTAGACAGACTAAAGCACTTGCAAATGTAAATACTAGTTTGCATGTTAATACTGGTTGAACCCAACTTTATTATTTAATAGTTAATTTGCAGGTAGGTGCATTTCCATATCCTTATGTCTGCAATACATGGTTAGCAGATATGACTAATCCACTTGCATGTTGAATTTACCATCACAAAATTTACTTGTTAGTCATCCCATTAAAATAATATGGGTGTGCTTACATACCTACAATACAAATTGTCTGCTATCTAATTTTTATCTTTTGGAGAGCGATATTTTTGTTTGTAAAGATATGCATTGTAAAAAAACTGTACTTATTGATAACAGTAAAGTGTTCCTTTAGATTTTACCTATTTGCCTTTTATTGTTCTAGTAATGGACAATAAAGCGATAGACACCAACCAACCCATGAATGCTCTGATGAGACTGAATCAAATTAAGCCAGGTCTACAGTATAAGCTTCTTTCACAGTCTGGCCCCGTGCACGCACCTGTCTTCACTATGTCTGTTGATGTTGATGGGAAAACATATGAAGCCTCAGGACCATCTAAAAAAACAGCCAAACTGAATGTAGCAGTTAAGGTAAGACCTGTGATCCTTTCTATGCTTCCTCTATGTTTAGCAATTTTTTACAAACTGATGAAGCAAGGTATCCACTAGACTGTATGTATCGTCATTCCTGAACAACAGTCTCTCTAACTAGATAATGTGAATGATAAATTTGTAATTAAGTGCAGTTGTATTAATCAGATATTCTTTGTGTTGTGAGGAGTGTGATATTTATTGAGAAAGCTCATTCAGTTTACTTGATAGAGATCCAAGTCTTGCAAGCAAACTTATTTATATACATCACAATTAATTCCTTTGTTTTCCTTTAAACTGCAATTTATTTGTTATATTTGGATAACTGATGTGTTTTAAATAACCTTTTCAACCTTTGATAGTGGTTTAATGTCATTTGACAAAATATTTTTTCATAAAACTCTTCTCAAATTAATTTAATTCAAATTGATTATATAATCAATTGACTGGCGGAAAAGGTCAGAGTTGCCTTTTATCAGCTCCTTGTTTAACAACTAAACAGTTTCAAACAGAACATTACTCATACGACAGAGTTTTCCTTAAGATTTTTATAAATATCTCAAATGTATATTTGTTTGTAAACTAACATTGTGAGAATCAGTCTTTAGTAGATACTGCCTCAGCCATCCATCAATACCAAATCTCAACAGAAAATACAGCACAATGCAATTTACATTTATATAGTGCTTTTCACATCGAGACGACGTCTCAAAGTGCTGGACAGGCACCTGAGCTGGAGCAGAGGGAGGTGGGAGGGAAAAGATGACTGAAAGCACGGTTGAAGAGTTTTGTTTTGCGATGTCTTTTAAACCAACTCATTCATTGGAAGGTGACCTTGACACAAATGTAGAAGCTTGTTTCTCTGTGTGGAGAGACCTGGAGGTTAACCTCAGCAAAAGAGCGCTTTTTATTCATCAGGCAGAGCATGAGGAGGAATGCTCAGGAGAATATCATACTAACTTTGCATGAAAAATTCTGCTAGTATCTTGGACCACTGGCATTGACATGTTTTATTGATCCAGTGATTCATAATGTGAATCTTCCAAACTTTTATGCATGTCATGTTTTTGCACTGTAGCTGGTCCAGAACCATTGGCCAACAAAAAGCTGATATCCAAAGGGATACCCTACATTCTCTCAGAAATGCCACTGCATTGAGTAATTTATGTATTTTACAAAGCAATATTATATTGATCTGTTGCATATGCACTACAAGGTTGCTTTGCAGTCACTTCATGGGATTCACACATCTTTTGTTGAATTTTGATATAATTAATTTGCAAGTGAAAGATGAATCAATGCCCGCTCTCCTATTCTATTCCTCTTTCAATTGTTGTTGATGTTTCAGGTGTTGCAGGCCATGGGCTGCCCAACTGGTATGGATTTGAAGATGTGTCTGGAATCTCAGGATATGGAGGAAAAATCCTCAAGCGATGATAAAAATGAGACTGTTTCTACAAACTCCAGCACTGACACAGCTGGCTGTGCTGCTGCTAGCACAAATACTCTCGAGGTATCGGATTTCACAACTTCTGCATGTTCGATAATTTTTTTTTTAAAAATTCTTTAAAATCCATTAAACTACTGTCACAATGTAATGTCTTGACAAAAATCTAAACTATCTCAAGGGTCCTAACAGAAATATCTATGAATTTTTCCAATTTAGTTTTCTATAAAAAACAGTTTACTTATTTCCCACCAACAATCCACTAACCTCAGATTTCACAAGATCACAAGAGAGGTTTGGATGAAGAAGACACTTTGGTCCATTTGATCTCATCTTTTCAGAATACTCTCCCATCAAAGCAATATATTGTTAATGATTCCAGGGTCCTGACCTGAACCACTGTTCCTGGTAACTTGTTACAGTTGGTAATTACCCTCTTGGTCAAAATATACTTCCCGGCTTCTGTCCTGTATTTGCCCTTTGACTACATTTTGACGAATTTCAAGATTGAGTTAAATCTCAGGTGTATAATTCCACACCAGCCACTGCTGTGACCTTTCTGAGAGAGGTTGTGCACATTTGTGGCTTTTTTTTGTGAGCTCTGCTCATTAGAACTGGACTGAATCTACCCAAGTGACAAACATAATCAAAGGTTTGTGTAGGTGGGCTCAGCCCAAAATGCCAAAAGGGAAACGACTCACTAATCCACTGTTACCACACCCATGACACTTCGGGACATAAACAAGGAATTGTGTGGGAAAGGAAAATGCTTTAGTGCAGCAGGAACCTTTCTTGACTTGCACACTTAGGCAGATTGTCAGGAAAGTATGTGGGAAGGTCTACTTTACCTTGAGGCTGCACCATAGTGCATCTAATGTTAATAGTATTTAAATGCTCTCACTGAGTGCAAAGTGAAGAGAATATTTCACATTTAGGGGAGGCTGAATGCAATACAGAAGAAAATACTAAATCATAGTTTTGTTAAAATAGATGCATCTACAAAATGCTGTTTTTGCACAGTTGACTGTATCAGATACTCTGTACAGCAGTTGAATGTGGGAAAACACCAGTTCAGCAGTTTTCTGAGAATTCCCTTTTCTTCAGTAAGGTTCATAAATTACAATTCCAGAAATGAAAGAAAAACTAGCCATGCCTGGTATCTGTAAGTTCCTTGAATATTTAATGCGTTTCTTGATAGATTACCTTGTTTATGTTGTGAATCTGCATTAGAAAGTACTAACTTCTGTTTATGAAACTATCCTATTTGTAGTGTGAATCAGTTGGACTAACAAGTTAGTGAAGAACATCTGCCAACCCACCCACCCCCCATTCATGGTTACCTTTCTTTGGTTATCATATCTTTGAAAACTTACAAATAAGGAAGCTAGTGCTGTCCGCTTGCACTTACAGTTATTTGTGCTACATTGAGGTACATGAAAGGAGACAAATCTGAGATTAGGTTTGACAGAACCCTGCCAGTGATCACGTAAATTGAAGACTGGTGGAAACTCCCAACTTCACAAAAATTGGCATAAAATTATTAGTTTATAGCCATTAACAGAAACTGAATGACCTTTCCACATTTCTCCCTCTAATGCTGACAAGCCATCAAGCCTGGTGATATATTCTGCAGTTGCTTTTATTTGTTCTCATTACGTTATGATACAAATGATCCCTTTTTTTATTAAACAAAATCTACTGATTTGCTCTTTCACATAGCCTCTTCCATTAAGTCTGAGTGAATACAACCCCTTCTACAGACCCAACAGCTGCCTTGGGTATTTTTAGTTCTACCTCAATTTTAATTTTACATTATTCTGCATTATAGCTTTAGGGCTGTTTATTGAAATGGACGTTTCGAAAGTTTTTATTTCCTGCCTTATTCAGAGCTCTGTGGTATCGAACTATATGGTGTGGAGGTGGCAAGCTTTCAAATCATTTTTTTACACATGGTTCAAAAGAGTGTAGAAAGCAGAGTTCATGTTAATGTCTCAAAAAAATCACAGAAGCGTTGGATGATGTTCTACATAAAATGGTGAGGTCGTATTTTTTCCAATTGCTTTTTTTATTTGGTTCATGGTTGATATTTTGACTGAAATTGTCTCAAATACACATAACACTTTTCAAAATGTGTTTTTCATTATATGAAAACTCCATATTATCATTAACCTATTGATGTATATTAATAATCCTTGCATTATTACAGCATATTCTGTCAAGCGTTTTGAGACGTCATAGAAGACGTGAGAAGCGCTATATCAAATGCAAGGATTATTATTATTATTTGATATTAAGACGTACATTCTAATTTGTGCTCGTGCCAGCTGATTTGGCATTTGATGCAGCATTGGAATTTGATCTGTGAGCAAATTCCAAAGAAATTGATGACACTATTGATAAATATGTTCACTAAATATGCTTGCAGATTCACAGCAATCGTGTGTCAATTGTGCACCCTTACTTGATGATGGAACGTAAAGTATAACTCTTGTAGGTCAGAGATGGCAAAGTCTTTTGGGCTTGCAAGCCACCAGTGATTAAATGTACACTTATCACGTCATTGAGTGACAGAGGCACCAGGGCTTCTTACCAATCTATCTGTTGACCTTCTATATTCTTGTCATATTACCCAGTGTAGTAGAGTTAATGCTTTGGTGACTTCCTAGAACAAGTTAGATCTTTGATGTGATCAGTGGATGACAGCCTGTTATTTTACACCAAGCAGTTAATCCTTTACTATGAGCTGCTGCTGCTGAATAGGCACAATATTGCAGTAATCAATCTAGGGTTGTATAAGATTCTTAAAGGGTGATTATCTTTCTTAAATAAGAAAAAATAGATTATTTTCAAAGATATGGAAAACTTGAGTAATCATATCAAAATAAAAATTGTGATTTTATTGGGAATAAATGGGAATATTATCAGGTGAAACATTTTATCGCCAGACTTTTGTTGTTACCTCTGCAGCCTTTCTTTAAAACCGCGAGATGCCCTTGGCCCAAGGTTTTTAAAAATGTTTTGCTGCCACAAATGCTGCGGCAATAAGCAAACCTGTGGATTAAGCAGGTGCAGACATCAGCACATTGTTAGTGGCAGGACTGCAATATGAACCTGGAAGGTGCTGTATAAATATCCTGGTGACTTTATGTATAGGCAACATTTATGGGTTTCTTTCATACCCGTGTTTAGTTCCTTTGTCATTGTCTGACATTCATTTTTATAAAATACTCAGGTTTTCACCTTTTTGATCAAATCATACAATGCTGAGGTGATAGTTTTGTTAAAAATCTAGTTTGTCCAAGTCAACTGATCAAACTATTGAAGTTATTTCTTTGTAAGTTCAAATCAATAAAGATCCAGGACTTTGTTCGGATCCCTCTATATTTTGTATCTATTAAATTGATATATTTTCCCCTATGTATTTCTGTTAAACCGTATATTTACAGATATAGTGATGAGATTCTCTTCTCTCTCACCCCCACCATGTTTTTTTTCTTAACTCCATTTGTTGATCCACCTGCAGCTGAGCAGAATGTGTGTTTATCATATAAATGATGCCAGGATGCCATCAAAGCATGATTCATCCTCTAAACTTTCCAGCTTCAGCTTCACACCTCAACCCAGCTCAGATTTGGGGACTGAGTGATGTGAGACTTGAGCCTGTATTTGACTTGCACTCTGATTTTGAGCATTAACACATTTTTATTTATGTTTAACAATGAATAATGACACATTTGAGGAAGTTTAAACACGTCCAATTGAGATGAATTGACCACTGATGAGTTCAATGATGCATGTTGAACTAATAACTAATGTGAAATTTAATCCCTTGCAACCCTTTATGGTTGGCCAAAAAAATAAATTTTCTTGATTGAATATTTCTTGATTTATGCCATAAATCCTTATGTTGTCTGGCTAGGTAGCTCCTGCTACCCAATTTCCCTCCACTGTTGGCCTTAGCTCTTGCTGGAAAACAAATCAATAGAAGCTGTCAAGAAAATAACATTTTAATCATAATCCTTTGGACCGCTTGAGGAAGAATCTGGTTTAAGGAACAATTCTATTGTGCTGTATGCCATGTTTAACGTGCTTGTTTGTATTGTGTAGATGAGAACTCAGGGTCCTATCCTTACAGCCAGTGGGAAAAACCCAGTTATGGAGCTGAATGAGAAGAGGAGGGGATTGAAGTACGAGTTGATATCAGAAACCGGTGGGAGTCATGATAAACGCTTTATTATGCAGGTATATTAGACAAAATTGATTGTTTGACTTGACAGTGAAGGCTAACTTCCATCCTGATGTTTGCAAAAATCCGATGTATTCTAAACTGAAGTAACACAACACTAGGGTGATAAAAATTGCTGTTGACTTTTGAATGGTTCCTAGGTACAGGTTACCAAGAAAGAAAATGTTTCTCAAAGTATTCTTGTTCTTCCATGTGGCTTTTGTCCTGAATTTTACTTACATTTACTAAGGCAGGTATGGCAGTGTATTTACTACAGCAGAAGGCTGCTTCTTATCAGTTTGATAGACATTCTAACCTCTGTACCCCAACTGGGTTACCTTAGCTAGCTCCCAAAACAAGGGCCCAGTGTACGGAGATTCTGCCCACATCTATTTTTGAGATATCTCGAAGACGCAATAAGGCGCTATATCAAATGCAAGGATTATTATTATTACAGGCACTATATTACATTACATGGTTTTAATAAACATTGGTATTAGGACCACTGCTCTTCTTAATATACATAAATGATCTGGACTTGGGTATAGCAAGTACCATTTCCAAGTTTGCGGACGACACAAAGTTAGGTAGGGAAGTAAACAGTGAGAAGGATAGGAACCGACTGCAGGAAGACAGACAGAACGGTAAAATGGGCGACACATGGCAGATGAATTTCAATGTGGAGAAATGCGAGGTAATGCATTTTGGAAGAAAGAATGAGGGGAGGCCATATAGACTGGTAATACAATCTTAAGGGGGTGAAAGAACAGAGAGACCTGGGGGTGCAGGTAAATGAATCCCTGAAGGTGGCAGGACAGGTAGATAAAGCTGTAAAAAGGGCAAATGGGATACTAAGCTTTATAAGTAGGGGCGTAGAGTACAAGAGTCAGGAGGTTATGATTAACCTATAGAAAACACTGGTTAGGCCTCAGTTGGAATACTGTGCCCAGTTTTGGGCACCACACTATAGAAAAGATGTTAAGGTATTGGAAAGGGTGCAGAGGAGATTTACGAGGATGGTACCAGGAATGAGGGACCTTGATTATGAGGAAAGGCGAGAGAGGCCGGGATTATTGTCATTAGAGCAGAGAAGGTTACGAGGAGATGTAATAGAGGTCTTCAAAATCGTGAGGGGATTTGATAGGTTAGAAAGGAAAAAACTGTTTCCACTGGTGGGTGTGTTGGTGACTCGAGATCACAGATTTAGAATAGTTTCTAAAAGAAGCCGAGGGGAGGTGAGAAGAAATTTTTTCACGCAGCGAGTTGTTAGAATCTGGAACCCATTGCCTGAAAGGGCAGTCGAGGCCGATTCGATAACAACTTTTAAAAACGCGGTGGATGGGTACTTGAGGAGGACGGGTTTGCAGGGTTATGGGGAAAGGGCTGGGAAGTGGGATTGAAATTGCTCTATTCAAAGAGCCACACAGACTCGATGGGCCGAATGGCCTCTATTTGTGCTGTACGATTCTATGATTCTATGATAATAGGTATATATATTGTGAATATTATTCTAAACCCATTACTTTGTTAATACATACAGCATTTATGCTTTATAGAGAGATAATAAACTATTGCTAATGTGATTTTAATATTGATTGCTGTCTTTAGTCATTTTTTTAAGTTTAGAACAAAATATTATTGATTATTTTATTGCTTAAGTACAATAATAAATGTTGATGGTAATTCCAGTACAACATGCAACCTGTACTTGACCATTTCAGCATTTGATTTAATGAGATGTAAATGTGAGAAATTGTAGAAAGCAACAATTGTAGTAATTATCTAATGTAGCTTCCTTCAGACCAGTTCTTTTCTGTGTGGAGTCCTGTAGTGTAGTGGTTAGAACGCTCGCCTCGCAAGCGAGAGGACCTGGGTTCAATTCCAGGGCAGGGCGAGACCTTAGGCAAGTTTCCTGACTCCACACACCTGGTTGTTTGTCGATTGGCAGATTGATTTTCCGGGGTTAATCCTTCAAAAATTTTTTAAAAATAATGGTAATTTGGATACTCAATCCACGACTGTTTGTGAGACACTGCTGTGCGCAATTGGGCTACCTTAGTGAAAGGTAAAAGCACATTAGCAATAGTTGATTGCAGCAATTGGGTTGACGCATTTTGCACAGGAAATATACAGTCAACTCACATTACAAATATCTTCTGTGAAGCGCTTTGAGACGACTCGAAGATGTGATAAGGCGCTGTATCAAATGCAAAGATTAATATTATTATTATTTTCTCCATAGGTGGAAGTGGATGGTCAGAAGTTCAAGGGAGCAGGCCCCAATAAGAAAGTAGCTAAGGCTAGTGCTGCTTTAGCTGCTCTAGAAAAACTGTTTTCTGGTCCCACTGCTGTAAACAACAAGAAGAAAAGAACTGGCCCTCCGGTAGGATGTCATTATTACCTGCTTGTATTTAATAATATAAACTTGCCCACTATTTTAATTATTGCTTATTTCGAAAATGACAGATGGCAAAATCTGAGCTAAAACACTAACCTGCAGTAGCTGTGATCTATGCAGTTACTATAGATATGTGTGTGTATATATATTTATACACATGTTGTAGCTTTGTTTCAGTTTTTGTGTTGCTCCAATGACACCTATTAATTGAACTGAATCAATTATCTGAACTCTCGTAGTTATTTATAAATTAGCATTTATAAATTTCTATATAAATTCACTTGTGTTTCTTATAATAGCATGAACATGCTTTCAATAACTGCTCTAAATATCACATTATTAAAGAATAGTGTAATTTGCTAAGCAATGGATTGCTGCACTGAGAGTGCTTAAAAGTGGCAGAGCCTGACTCCGAGCTGGGGGGAGGAGTGAGGAGCCCGTGAGCACGGTTGAAGAAGAAAGCTTTCAGGCGGGACTTGAAAGAGGGGGCAAGGTGGGGGGATTAAGGGAGAGTGTTCCAGAGTTTTGGGGCGTAATGGCTGAAAACACGACCTCTGATGGTGGGACAGAGGGTGTGAGGGACGAGCAGGAGGCTGGTGCCAGTCGAGCGGAGGTGCCGGGTAGTGGATTAATAATAATAAATAATAATCCTTGCATTTACATCTTCTAGACGTCTCAAAGCACTTCACAGAATAGACTGATTGACAAAGTGAATTGACTGAATATTTGTAGGCGAAATTAGGGAGTGGGGAGAGGAGGTCGGAGAGTTAGGTGCCAGGGAGTGAATGGATTTGAACACGAGTGTGAGGACCTTGAAGTTGATCTGTTTGGTGATGGGAAGCCAGTGGAGCCTGGGCCAGATCTGGCGAGATGTGGGGTCGGAGTTTGCTCTGGGTCAGTATGAGAGCAGCAGAGTTTTGAATGACCTGGATCTTGTGAATGGTGGAGCTGGGGAGACCAGCGAGGAGTGCATTGGAGTAATCCAAGCAGGAGGTGACTAACGCACACACGAGGGTTTCGGCTGCATTTGGGGTAAGTTAAGGTCAGAGGCGGGCAATGTGGTGGAGGTGGAAGAAGGCAGTCCTAGTCAGGGACTGGATGTGGGGGAGGAAGGACAGTTGGGGGTCGAACCGGATGCCCAGGTTGCGCACTGGTTTGGTGAGTCTGAGAGAGAGCCCAGGGAGGTTGCGGAGTTTAGATCCGCAGGAGTGAAGACGTTGATGGGAGCCAAGGAGTATGGCTTCTGTCTTGTCCATATTCAGCTGCAGGAAGTTTACACTCATCCAGGCCTCAATGTCTGCCAGACAAGCTGATAGAACATCGGGGACCTGGAGTTTACCCTGTGTCTGCGGATGCCATCGCCCAGAGGGAGCAAATAGATGAGGAAAAGAAGAGGGTCAAGGATGGAGCCCTGGGGTACCCCGCAGGTGACTGGGCAGGGGGCGGGCGGAGAAACCATTTGCTGAGACGAAATGGAGGCGGTTTGTTAAGTAGGACTTGAACCATGTGAGTGCGGTCCCACTCAGGCAGATGAGAGAGGAGAGCTGATGGAAGAGGTTGGCGTAGTCGACTGTCGAACGCGGCAGAGAGATCCAGGAAGATAAGGAGGCAGAGGGAGCCCTGGTCACAGATAGAGAGAATGTCATCTGTGACTTTGACAAGTGCTGTCTCTGTGCTGTGGGCAGTCGGGGCGGAAACCAGACTTCAGGGGCTCGAGGAGGGAGTGGAGGGAGAGGTGTGACCCAAGTTGACCTGCAACAATGTGTTCCAGGACTTTGGCAAGGAAGGTTAGGTTGGAGATGGGACGGTAGTGTGAGAGATTAGAGGGATCGAGGGTGGTTTTTTTTAGGGGGGGGTTGATGACAGTGGTTTTCAGGGGGGAGTAGATCAGAGCCTGAGGAGGGAGACTGGTTGACGGTGTCGGCCAGCAGGGGAGAGAAAAGGGAGAGTTGCGTGACCAGCAGCTGGGTGGGGAGGGGGTTGAGGTACCAGGTGGTGAACTTCATCTGGGTGATTGTGGTTGAGAGGGAGGAGGGAGAAATAGGGGCAAAGGAGTGGAAGGAGGAGGGAGTGGCAGGAGCCGTGGCTGAGGGAGAAGGCGGTGTAGATGGTCTGCTGTGATGGACGGTGGAAAACAGCGTCTTTGGATCGTTTTTTGTCTCCAGGATGACTTTGGAGTAAAAGTCAGTTGTGGCCTGTGAAAGAGAGAGGCGGTGGGTGTGGAGGTGCTTGAGCCACAGCTGGCAGTGAATCGTAAGGTCCTATTTCTGCTAATTCTACAAAGAGCTCTTAATACAATACATTTGTCAACTCAGAAATTTTTATTTTCTACAAAGGTTAAATTATCTCAGTGAAATACTAGGCATTAATCACATGGATATATATCTATGGGCATTATGTTCAATTAAGGCTTTTTTCTTAACCTCCGTGTTAAGAGATTGAAATCTGTGATTATTTTTCTGCTGACTTGTGCACACAGGCTATCAAGAACAAATAGTGTCTCACAGACTTTAATGTTTTTGTTACTTAGACTAAGGGCCCAATCGCTGCGCCGATTGCTACTGTCCAAACACTGCGAGGCCGAGGGAGAGGAGCCTTGAGCAGAGGAGCATTTGCTGGTGCTGCAGTAACAGCTGCTCCGGGATACATAACGCCAGGTATGGTGCACAGCAAAACGTCATGTAGTCAAGGTCAAATCTCCCAGGAGAGGAAGCTGTTCACTTCATAACTGGTACCGCAATTTCTAGATCCAGTCACTGTGGATATTTTAGGAACAGCCAGCAAAGCAATGATGGATCTGATTCATGTTCCACACGTTAAAGATCCTGTGGGCGTTAAAGAACCCATGGCTCTATTCGAAAATAAAATTGGTCACTCAATCCACAGCTGTTTGTGGAACACTGCTGATGTGAGCATTTATCTGCACACAAATTTTATATTTTTTCAAATCCATTTTTTTAACTTAATTTTGAATGAGGGGCTATAATCACAGAGAATGCTTTAATTTATCTTATTTACATTATTGACAAAACTGAGGTTATCCTGTTCATCTCACCTCAGTCGCTGACCACATCCCCTCTCCTAGTTACTCACTCCTGACACTGCAGAACCTCAGGGTTTGGCTGACCCTCAATTCTTCTTTAAATATTTCATCCAGGCTCTGATCAAGTCGGCTTTCCTCCATCTCTGCAATATCACATAGCCTCGGGCTCTAGCTAACACCCCCCCCCCCCACCACCATTCCTCTCGGAGGAGGGTTAACATTACTAATTCAGTGAAAGTACATCTCCAAGAAACACTTAATAATTTCCCATAAAGGTGGTTTACATTTTTAACACACTGACTCGTTGAATGTGTAAGTATTTGAATGTAACATCAAAATTCTGTTAATTATTGAGATATTGCCACCTGCTTCACTCCGTTGTATTTAAGGAATTAGAATTGGAAACACTATGTTTTACTCAAAGCATTTAAAAGCCACGAGACATGACATATTCTGTGAAAATTATGTAATTTTTCAGTTTCCAGAGTTGGCTTTGTGTCAACAGTACCAGCTCAATGTCACACCATCACAGCAGCTTTGTCGTAGATTCCAGTGAGTGAACTTGATAGGCAAATGGCATTTTCTCGTTCCATGCATCCTTATTTTCTGTATAAAGCTAAGGGGAAAATTGTTCTTACTAATGGTCTTTGAGAACTAGATGAAAAGTAAGAAACTGCATTTGGAGCTCAGACTGAGGAGAACAAAACCTACGTTTTTTATAGTTAGAAACTGGTAAACATGACCTTGAGTAAGGAAGAAGACATAAAAAATAACTGAATGAATGCCAAAGTAACTGGGTGAACAAATAACATTTTAAAATTGTTATATTTTACTTAAAATCATACATTTTATTTTATTAAGACTTGCCTCTTTGGCTGTGCTTTTTGGTAATTTAGTGTACCACTAGTAAAGTTTTGCAGTAGTAAAGCTATTTATTCCTGGGTGTTTTACTAGCATTATTGTTGATATCATTTTTTCCAGCAATTAGGTGTGTGATCAGAGGGCAGAGCTGTGCCAGGGGCCACGCATTGGACAAAGGCCCAGGGCTATTTTCATATGTTTGTTGCAGCTGGATCATAATCTACATTGGACTCAGATTTATTGCTAATTATGTTGGATCCTAATTTCATGGGAACTGTTCCATTGAATTATGGCGATTTGAATCTTTGACTGAATTTCTTATGTGAGGTACAATGTGTTCAATTCACGGATAATTGAATAGAGTCCAGCGTGATAATGTAGCAAGACTTGTGCATATAGATATATATCCATGTGATTAATGTCTAGTATTTCACTGAGATAATTTAACCTTTGTGGAAAAGGAAAATTTCTGAGTTGAAAAATGGGTTGCATTAAGAGCTCTCTGTAGAAGTGATATTGACACTTTTATTTTTTTTTCTCTTTCTGTCCTCCAGTTTTCTCTCCATACCTCTCATCTCCTGACAGTGGCAACTCGTGCTGGGGTGCAGTTCCACATGTACCTCGCCCAAGTGCTCATTCTCCCTGTGTAAGCTTGGAAAGTGAGTGTCAGCAAGCTATTAAACATAGGAGGGAAAGAGGGCTGGCGGGAGAGAAACACAGCTGAGCTCTGTACTTCCATGACATTCAGATGGATATTCCGAGTTGAATTGTGGGGTGTGGGGTGTGGGGGGCAATGGATTACAAAGGTAATCCCTTCTAGGAATGTGGATGTGTTGTTGTCTACCCTTCTCACTGGCACAGAAAGGCTGAGGCAGGTTGGCCATTGACCTAGCTAGGGTCAGCTGTCTGAGTGCAAGATCAAACCTGAGACATTACTGGTCTGTGCAGTTCAGTACCTCATTACCCACTAAGCTATCAGTCTGGGTGGCGAGGGAGGGGAATCATACATACATTCTTAATTTAAATTAATTGAAAGATTGCAGAAATTCTAGATGGCTGCTGGGTTCACCTACAAATACATAGAAAAAATTCTAAAGTGCTTTGAAAAGTTTCAATGGGATAAAACACAAAACCTAATTCAAGGATTATTTATTTAATTAATTTCATGATTGAAAACTTCATCTTTTGCCAGAAAGAGACATGATTTGTTTCATGTAGGATAGCAAATTGCTGAAAATTGTTATCAAACTAGAGTATTTTTTAAAAATTGTGACGAATGGGAATTGATTTGGTAATTAGGCAGTTCAGTGCTGTTTGCTTAATATTCTAAATAGTGGTTACCACGCGCCTAATCATTTAGAGTGAACACCAAATGCTTAATAATATATTTTCAGATTCCACTGGTAATACTTTACTCATCTTGCAGAATTAGAAGGGAATAATGTTAATTTTCTTTCTAGGTTATGGGGCACCCTATGGATTCAGTGCTGCTGCCCCAGCTTACGGTATGTATGTCACTGTAAAATGATACCATGATATTTTTCATACATTGATCTAGAAAGTGTATATCTGTTACATAGAGATATACACAAGCGTGTAAACATTAACACCCTTTGAGTACTTAAGTGCCTTTGATAGCTTTCTTGATGTATACATTTGTTATACCATATACAGTGAAAACATTCTATAATTTTTTAACAGCTGCTTCTGTGAAGTAAAATTCTGTACTGTACAAACCGTGCATTACTTAACTCCAATCACAAAATACATTTTAATATATTTAGGAAAATATTTTGTGGTCAATCTTTCATGTGCTCCAAGGGTTAAATGTTTCATTGGATTAAAACACATTAGGTTTTTTTTTAAATAGTACCTTTTTCACTTAGTTCATTGTAATTAACATGCTCATACAAACAAGCCAAGATGCTATTTTGTTACCCAATTTAAAACAAAAATAGAAGAAATTAGCATAACCTCATGGTTCTTCTCCTTCCTGGTTGGAGCCACTCTTGCGAAGCGTTAACTGACTGTAAAGGGACTGTGTGTAATCTCTGCTTCTCCTCTTCCATGCCAGACTGTACATATGATTAAATGTGGTCCCGGTGCTTTTGCAGCATTGAGATACGATATTCAAAGCTACAGTGGTGCCAGATACGGACAAGTAGAAAGGCAGTAGTTTAGGGAAATCTCAAAAGAGTTAGAGTGTACTGGTAGCATATTAATTTTAAACATGTAAACCCAATCCAAACATTCTGCTTAGTGTTTTGTTTTCCATAGTTCCCGTTAGTTTCTCAATTTGTTTTTACATTTGACTAAACTATAATCATTTCTGACATTGTCCTGTAAAGAGTCAGCATTAAATGTTCACACCCTGGCTGCTCAGCTTGAGAAATGATAATTTACCGGTTAAATTGATTAGCAACAGGACAGATGGAATGTGCAAACATTTCATTTTGCACTGAGAATGTCTGACTGCCTGACAGAGACAGCTGAAGGAATTAGTGAAACGCCTGCATTTCTAATCACCAGCATGGCTGTGAGAATCATTCGCTCTTTGTCTGGCAAAGGGCAACCTGCCTTTTCACCTTGCCCCGTCATTTCTAGATTGCCCAGTTCTCCACTCTTTATTCTGGATTGGAAATAGACAGCAAAGGATAGACACATTTATATTTGAGAAGATCATTAACCTGCACCATTTGCCAGTGTAAGAAGCGGCTAGAGTGTTGATATTTTCATGCAGTAAACCAAGATTTCTTCATGGATATTATGCTATTCCATTAGACATGCAACCGGGTATGTATCATCAACTGCAGTTAGAATTTTTCCAATCCATATTCCTAAAGCAAATTTTTCCTCCTCTTCCCCCCCCACCATCCAGAAATAATTAATTTCTATGCTCCCTGTCACTCTGTTATTTTAATAGTTAAACCTACAAAATGATTAACATGACGCTGACTTCAATATGTGTTGTTACACTTTCACGGAAGTTTATTTCTAAATGTTAATGAGTAGCACAACTACCTAGAGACCTATGTCTATAGTTTACTACAGTGGCTTGTTTTAATCTCGAAACTGGCACCGTACCGTTGCTTTGAATGAGTCTTAAGTGCAAATGGTGACAAGGGACTACGAGATTTATTTGGAGTCAGTATTGAGCTGTGCATGAGAATATTTTTTATGTGTAAAGACAGTCTTTCCAAATATAAATCTGCAAAGTTTTCTATCAGCTTTACAGCTGGTGCATGTCTGAAGTGACTTGCCTGACATGTGGTTCAAAACTCCAGTTCATATTTTGTCAGCACCGTGTTGAAAATCTTCACTGTTCAAATGGCTCCAAATGAATGTTATCTTCTGTATATGAGAACCATGTCATCATTTGTCACGTAGACATCCCATGTTCCCCCAGTGTCTAAATGTAATGCAAAACTATATCTGACGAGGCTGTCTTCTTGGCTGTAGACTAAAAGTGCCTTCACTGCCTGTGTAAGCTGTTGCATGTTGGGAAATTGCACTTCAGTTATCTGGTGCTGTTGAACTCCTACTGTTGCTGCTTTGTGATTTCTAAAGAGGATAATTAACATTGAGAAGAAATCTGACCCAGATTACATAGAATTACTGCCTAGATTACATAGCATTTTGAGGCCACAAGAACTTAGTGATCAATCAAATGACATCAACAGCCCCAGATCTCTCCAGATCTGCTATTCAAACTCTCTTTAAATAACATCAGCGTTTGCTGCAGGATACATAGCATAATCTTTGCTTTTAAAGTCTCAGCCTGAGGCATGACTGGTCTGTAGTAACACCTGCTTTAAAGGTTTGCTGCCCAAACTTGCTCAGCACCAATTTTTCAGTGGAATTGGACTATGATGATGGGACCCAGTTGCTTTAGGCATTTAAGAACCATTCAGAAAAAGCACTTCAATATAATGTTATTTTTTAAACTGTCTAAACCATCACAAGCCTTTATCTGCATTGTTCACCCCGCCTTTTATTAATGATGGAATTTTTTTAGCAATAAATTTCTGATTCGTTATCGGCTTAGATCCAAGGGCTTGGTCGAGAAGGTGGGAGTAATACTCAGCAACAATAATTCTGCGCTTTGTGTACAACTGTATAGAGTATAGCTTTATTTCTTTAAACCACTTGCAATACGTTTGATGTCCTTTGAATCAGTAATTGGGATTGATATAGAAATAACAAGATAGTCGATATTCCCCTGAATACTTTAATAATAATGTCCAGGAATATACTCAGTTGGATGATTTTTGCAGACTAATCTTCTTAATATCCCCTTGTAATCCTTACACATTCATTGGAGCAGGGATTTTTTAAAAAAAAAGAAAGTTGCCAATTCCAATTATATACTTTTATATATACGACAGGAGGGTATTACACAAAATCAAGTTTCATGCTTGTTTGTAGTATGACTCAAATAGATCAAGTGATGTATTTCAAGCAAAAATAAATGGCTAATCTGGAAAGATCTATGGTAATAACCTTAGATTTTTAAGTCAATTTAATGGACCAATAAACTTATTTGGGGACCTTTCATTTCTTCTCTCTATAGGTTTACCAGGCAAGAGAATGCTTCTGTTCCCTGTTATGAAAATTCCAACATATCCTGTTCCCCATTACTCCTTTTTCAGCTAATTACTGTATTAGAAGCCTAATGACCGATTCTGATCACAATAGCAAAAACAATAAGTGGGCATTAGGAGAGAATAAAGTTAATGCTCTTTTTAATTCAATTTCTTTTGAAAATGTTGTATGAAGCAAATTATTTGTAAGATACGTTTTTTTTCCCCCTATCTTTTTGATTTTAACAAAAAGGCTACAGGTTTAGTTCATTAAAACTTGAAGATGTACTGTGAAATGTTACCTCATTCTTGGAATATAACTTATGCAGCCTTCTGTGATTAAAAAGTAATGAACTTTTTTAAAAAATACTCACAGACATTTTAATTGAAGTATCACAGCTTCTGAAGAATTTTATGGAAGCTTATTTGTGAAGGATGTGTAGATAATAGATCTCTGATCACAAATAAAACAGTTTGTTTCAGAACCAGCATATTGCCTGTTTTATAAATCTCTTCACGTAGAAAGCCTTAACCCAGTTTTGTGCACACGCTCTGTACTGGCTGTCATTTGTGTAATAGTGGATTTGGGGGTGTGATAGGGGTTGGGTTTCGTGGTCAGCAAACATTAAACAGTTACAAAACAAAGGTTACACGTGAAGCCCAACTGATCGTACAAATGATGGAAGCTCAAAATGAAATAATTTACCCATTTCCTTCCTGAAATATCCTGGTATGAAGCAAGTGTTCAAATTGGCTTAAGGCTGCCTTTAACTCCATAATCTTGCATTCGGTTCTTGTGGCCTTCTTCACAGTTAAATGAAATGTACCTTAACTTGGCTTTAGTAGCTCCCAGGTAGACAGGGTTTTAATTAATGAGCAGCCCTTTTTATGATCAGGTCTTTGCTAAGGATCTTTTTCCCACTGCACAAATTGGAGAATCTGAAGCAGCAACAAGGTCCCGTGGATACCTGCCATCTAATGTCCCAATTCTTGTTGAGTGCTGCTTTTTTTTAAAAAAGAGAAACGTTTCACCCACAGGCCATCATTCTTCCATCAGGTTGTTTAACAGAAATTCACATTAGTCTGCTCGGCTAATTATTAACCAACCCTTTTACCTGTGTAATCGTTCTTGTGTTGATGCATGCATTTTGTGAAAATGATCCTGTCACTTGGGTAGTTTTTGAGTTCTTAAATTCATCTTTGTTTTGTCTCACATTCTCCCCCCCCCCCCCCCCCACCCGAGATCAAGGTTGAAATCAGTCTGTTTCCAATATTCATTCCTGAGGAAAAGCACCTTCCTCTTAAGATCATTCGGCTATTGGACAGCGATACATTAAGTTAAAGGTTTTCTTACTATTAATTGTTTAAAATCAGTAGTTAGCTATTACAAATCTATGTTGAAAAATAATTTAAAGGGCATTAAATATTACTTCTTTCTGTAAGTTTCAGTCGAACAATACCTGAGGATAATCACTTACAAATACACAGTCAACTACACTTTATGATAAATAGTGCCAAGCTCCTTGAGATGTTTTGAAAATGTGATAAGGCGCTAGATTAATAGAAATCTTTAAGGATTGTTCTGCAATTTTACATTAAAAATCTTTTGCACAACATGTTCACACATCATTGTGTACAAATTACTCATGCAGTATAACCATTGACTATTTTCATAAAATAATCCCAACATTTTTATTGAGCCTTCCCTCTGCAACTCAGTCCCTGAAGTCCTGTAGCTCAGTGGTTAGAGCGCTCGGCTCGCAAGCAAGGAGACCCGGGTTTGATTCCCAGGCAGGTTGAAACCATAGACATTCTGTTTACACAATTCTGTTTACCTAGCAGTAAATAGGAAGCAGGAAGTAATAGAATTAGTCGATTGGCGGATCGCTTTCTGGGGGTAATAAGTCCTGTTGACAATTTAAAAAGTTTAAAAGAAGGCCCTTCAGCCCATTTGATCTCATCCTTCCCATTGCATGCTGTTTCTTCAGTGAAAAACACAACTAAGCAGTGGTATTGAAGTGAATAAGAAATAGTTTAGTGCAAGTGCCCAGCATGTTGAAAGTAATCTTCTCAATGATGTATAAAATGACAAATAAATGACACACCAGATACGATAGGTTAGAGTGCCTAGACTAGAGTATGACAGTGACTTGCAGATGATTTAATGAGACTGGACATTACTCATGGCAGATGTTTTTGAGGAGCCCGGTAACCTGACTTCATGAAATCCTTTTGCCATTTAGTACTTTGCATTTAGCTGGGAGAGAATTGGTTACATGTCATTCATTACGTTCAGTATTGTTCGTTTCTCCGAGTGGTTAGCTTTGGTGGTCCGTGGATGAAACCAAGCCATTCCTGATGTGAGGAATACACTGCTTCTTTGTCTTACCACGCTTTAAAAGTGTGAACTTGTTCTGTAAGGTAGAACTATTGTACTGCTTCCAACATGATGTCTGTGATTGTCTAATACTGTATATTTGTTATAAGATACTAGTATTGTCTGAACTAGTTTGTTACTGCTAGTTTACATTTCTCTGCTTTATTTAAGATTAGCTTTTTTTTGTCAAAGTAGAAAACATGCGACCTTCAAGTTTTTAATGTCTTTGACAAAGAAATACCCCATTGCAATGAAAATCCCACATACAGATAAAGGAGCAGAGAAATATAAATGCTAATGAACAGATTCACTGCAGTGATAATTAATATGCAGTTCTGCTTCTCTGCTCTTTTCCTCACTGTAGGTGGTTTTTTCATTGACAATCCTTATTACCAGCCTCGGGCCATCGCACCTTTTATTATTCACTTGGGTCCTCAGGATTTCGACTCTGACTTCTAGAACCATCAGGTTGTTGAGACTTGAAACTTATTTTTTTNCTCATACCAGTTCATTTTTGAGCTTAGGAACAAAAGGAGACGACTTCAAGGTCATGTCCATAATCAAGGCTTACAAGAATAGCCGTCTTTGGCAATAGCTTATTTAAATTTAAAATGGACAACCAAAATTATGAGCACTGTTTGTCAATGACTCCAGTCTTTAGATCTTTGAACTGTACAGTGAAATTATTTCTCTTTCCCTTCCTCTTTTTCCTTTATTTTAATTTTAACATGCATCCACCTTATGCCATTGCATTGCAAATGGTGTTTGCAGTGGATTTGTGTATCTGTCTGTGGATTTGTATTGTTTTTTGTCCTTTAGACAAATACTTCTGTTACTGTTTCCGTGGATTTAATTTATTTATCAATTCTAACCATAGGCATTTTTTATGGGTTCAAGTTTGATTTTTTTTAAAAAGAGAAAATAATGCCATTAACACTTGCAAACTAACAACATATTGTCAGTCTTAAAGTATTGTGCACTATAACAAAACAACAGCAACACTAAATACTGCAGTTCCTTCATTTACAACCTAGTGGGTGTTCAACCACTGTGAATGTGTTTAAAGGCTAATGGCTTTAGTGTTTTCCTTGAGTTGCGAATACAGGGTTAAAGAAAGAAATTGTAAAAAAAATTCAAAATTAGTGGTGGCTGGGCAATGTTTACCAAAGACATGAATGTATGTGTTGAATTAATCACAATTAGGTTGTACATAGCAAATAATCTAAAAAGCAGGTTGCACCACATAAAACAAACCAGTTCATGACGGAATCTGTAGAATTCAGCAGTTCACACCCGCCCACCTGCCACCTGATGGTGGTTTCACTAGCACATCGATTCCCACCACAGTGGGCAGTGCAAGCAATTCAAATCAATTAGGCCTCTGTACAGAAATGCTTGCTTAACCGTGTTTGTGGCCAAGAACATATAAAGGGGCCATTTTTAATGACATTGAAATGTACGTGCCTCTGTGCAAAACGGGAACCAAAAATCCAGTTACATCATGCCTTCATGGCTTTGCTGCCGGAAGTGATATTGAGTAGAATCCAAGCATGATGGAGATGAAGACAAGCACAGGTTCAGCAAACCCAACTGTAACAATCAGGAAATAAGTTTCCTCTTCGTGCTTGGCTGATGCATTGCTACTGACTGACTGCTGTGACTATTTAAAATGTAACAAGTGCACTCATTGAAAAATAATTAGTGTTTTGCTGCCCTTTCAACCCACTTCCTGACATGGATAATATCCCTCTAAAATACAAGATGCAACAATGAAAATGGAAATTTGTTATAGTTTGGTTAGAAATAAATGTTGTGCCCAAAATAGGAAATGGAAGACTTACTTCCTGAATGTCTTCTCTCCCACCATCAGTTAATCCTTCAGTTCAGGGACCTAGAGAATCTGATGGAGGCTTATATCTGGAGCAATAACTCACAGCCACCATTTAATGTCTTGGTTCTTGAGAGCTTTGCAATATCCTCTTTGCAAATGCTGGTTCTCCTACACTCAAAAGTATAATAATAATAATAATCCTTGCATTTGATATAACGCTTTTCACGTCTTCTAGACGTCTCAAAGAGCTTCACAGAATATACTGTAAAGTGAATTGACTATATTTGTGGGCATAACTCGGCAGCCAAATTGCGCACAGCAGCGTCCCACAAACAGTCGTGGATTGAAGTGACCAATTTATTATTATTTTTCTGTCTTGAGGGATTATTATTAGGTGTGTGGAGTAAGGAAACTTGCCCGAGGTTTTGCCCTTCACAGGGGAGAAATGTCTCAGAAAGCTAAACAGTGGCGGAGCCCGAAGCTTAAGATGTGTAAACTATTGACTGAAGTGAATCTCAACCTTACGAACCCACAAACTCCCCAGTTTCATCACATTTGAACTGAGGCTGTGTCTGTGCGCTTAGAGGAGAGAGAGAGAGACTCGACTGTGATGCCCCACAGTCAGATAGCCTGCTAACTAACGCTCACAAACTAGCCTCAAGCAAGAAAAGCAGCCAAGGTACAGGTGGGCAGGCGATGCTTATGCTAAACACCTGAGGAAGAAGGGAAAAGGACCATTTGCTCCAATGAGCTTAAAATGTGAGCTGCCCCATAGCTGGCTATTCCCCTGCCCCCCCCCCCCCATCCCCTTAACTAGTTAAATATAATTCAACCTAACTAAGGCAAACGTTTGAGTTGAGTTTTGTGGTTGTCTTTCCCCTCCCCCCCCCACTAACTGATTGACCTTTCAGCTCGGACACAATCAGCGAGCGCAAGCCGACATTGTGAGTATAAACAAAGTGCAGTGAATCCTGTTTTCAAACCTGTCTCAGGGGACTGTGATCTTTATATAAGGGTGGCCTCTGAGTAAGGGTTTGTTGGTGTGTGAGCCAGGCTGGTTGCTAACAGGATAGAGTTTAAGTTTTGGGAGAATATAACCATAAATAGTAATTCACTGTTATCTTGTGTTTGGTTAAGGTTAATGTGCATTACTTCAACACCAATTAAATTCCCTCCCCCGCCCCTGCAATGCCTTTTCTTAATTGTTCAATCATTCATTTTGTAGCTGGCAGCCAGCCAAACGTTAATCTGCACTCTACTTTCTTTCATTTGTGTGAT